GGTCTTACATCCAGGTGCAGAGTGAATGCATGAAAGCTGGTCGAATCAGAGTTTCTGAGCGAGTGTAAATGCAGCAGAGATACATTGGATCGGCTGGAGACTCCAAATAACCTTGTTAGAAGTTTTCTGGGAGAAAATGTATTAATAACCCTGTTAGAGTCGAACAAATATATCACGGTGCCACCATGAACCGCCCCCCCCCCCCCCCTCGTACCCAGATAATGACATTTCAGTGAGCGCAGATGAAATGGGCCAATTTTTAAACTCATTACAAACTCAGTTCTGGAAAGGAATGAAGAAAGGAAGAAACAAAGGGAGAGAGAATAAAGAGTATAAGACAAATGATAAACATTGACACTGGCCTTGTATCTCTGTGTGTGTGTGTGTGTGTGTGTGTGTGTGTGTGTGTGTGTGTGTGTGTGTGTGTGTGTGTGTGTGTGTGTGTGTGTGTTTTATATATGCATACCTTGTCTGTGCCTTAAGGTGTCTACGCGGATGCTTTTTGCCTGCCTGTGTGTGTGTGTGTGCGTGGAAGCAGGCTTTCTTCAGACTGGCGTGATGTGTGTGTCCGTGGGTTATGTATGCTTTGAACGTACCTTTTTTTAAAAGTGTGTGTGCGCGCATCAGCTCAGCCCAAAGCCGGGCTGACAGACAGCTTCCCTCCGAGGAGCCCCTTAGTGTTTCTGATTGATCGTCATAATGCCAAGGTACAGGCCCTGTCCTTGGTGCCTATGCTAATCGCGGGCTCATGCATATTTATGAGCTCCTTGGGAATCAACCAGCTAAATAAAGGATGAGGCCGTTGGCTCCGAGCTGTGTTCATCGCTGACTCTGATTGATTAGAAAGAGAACAAATATCAGCGTGTAAAAAAACTTGTTTTTATTTTCTCTTCTCAGCTCAGGGATCATAATGGGAGCACGTGGCTGTTAGAAAATACAATAAAAAGTAGAGGCTCTTGGAAAAATTCATTGGAAAAAAGTTGGTGAGAAGTTCCATCAGCATGTCATAGCTTGTATAGATCTTGAGCTTTTACTGTTGTGTTGATGAGTTGTGTTCATCACAGTTAACATTGTGTTACCTAGCTTTGCCTCTAACTGATGCTGGTGATGCTTTTTGCAGATGATGTGTTTCTTATAAGAGTTTGAAGCGGCTGGAATGAGGATCAACACCTCTAAATCTGAGGCCATGGTTCTCAGCAGGAAACCTATAGACTGTTTACTCCGAGAAGGGAATGATTCCTTACCCAGAGTGAAGCAGTTGGAGTGTCTCTTGGTATTGTTCTAGAGCAGGGGTTTTCAAAGTGTGGGAAGGTGAGCCTCCCCTCAGAGAACATAAGAACAGCCGCGCCCCCCCTCCCAATTATTATTGCTATTATTGTTGTTGTTGCTATAATGCAGGGGTATTCAATTACATTTCAAAGAGGTCCAGTAAGAGAAAATGTCATTAAATGCTCTGTTTTCGCTGCCTACCTTCCGCCATTTGAAATTACTCCGACTGTTTCTCTCTTCTTGTCTCGTATCTGTGTGTGTGTTTGAATCTATCGTGCTGACTCACTGACTGCACCGATTTGATTGGCTGAGTAGCGTCACCTCCTTAAAACATTAAACAATAACTTTTTAAAACCTTTTTATCTTTATGTTTTAAACATATTGTATAAAACTCCCCCACTACTTGGACTATTCCTTGCACCCCTCTAGAATAAGCCCGAATGGTCTCAACCATATTGCATCAGTAACGTGCACTTTGTTGTTATAACAAGATCGCAAGGACAGTGGTAGCGATCGGAAAATTGAGTGTTGTTCAGTTTGTGTGTTGTGGAACATGCGTGTCCGTGCACGAAAATATACCACACACCCAATTACAATAGCATGTTCAATTCACTACCCTGGAAGTTAATAAAGTTGTTACAGTTGGAACAGCCTGTGGACAGCCGTTCTTCTTACAGAGGACAGGCAGATCTAGCTGCAGCATGACCCGTATATTTTCGCACGCCGTGTTCTCAACACATTTTTAACATTTTAAACATCGTAGATACATCCTTATATGCTCCCGGCAACACACTGAACGTCAACTTTGCCTCCTTATTACACTCACCCCTACTTTAGTGGGAACAATGAGTCTGCGTCTTTGATGCACACAGGAATAAACGCAGATCATCCTCTGGCTGCAGCCTTGACCGGCACTTGCTTTTGATCAAAGTCAATGCGGAAAACCCGCACTCACACAGGTAGGTGGAGGTCAGTGTTAATTTCGTCAACGAAAACTATGACGAAAAATGTTCGTCAACGACCTTTTTTACATGACTAAGACGAGACGATAACGAGCTAAAAATAGATTCTTGATAACGAAAATTTGACGAAATGTATATTTAGTTTTCGTTGACGAGACGAGACGGGACTAAGGTGTTAATGGTGGACTATCGGACATTCAAAATGCAGCATATTTTCCCCCAATTGCCCGTCTTGTCTGTCAAAATGCATCTTACATTTCTAACTTGTAATATCATTATTTCCGCTCTCTTCACTCCAGAAGAGCGATCTCCCTCTCTCTCTGTGTGCGGGGGGGGGGCGGGGCCTAACAGACACGCTGCAGCGGCACACAGAGATCTGCCGGGGACGGAGCGTTCAGATAGTATAGAGACACTCTACAAGGCTCGATGTGGACAAAGCTCGTTTGCCATGTTTTCGCGTTAGCGCGTTGACACGAGTAGAGTAGTCTGTCCAAACAGCCGGCCAAAAGGCGTCATATTCAGTCGGAGAAATGCACAATTTTCGACTTCCTTAACTCGTAGCTCTGTTGCCCCAATTACGAGTAACGTTATCACATCAGGTGTGCAGAGGTGGGAGAAGTACTCAGATCTTGTAGCTAAGTAAAAAAATACCATAGTGTAGGAAGAGTTCCTCAAGTCAAAGTATGATCATCAAAATATAGTTAAAGTAGTGACAGTAAAAGTAGTCATTGTGCAGATTGTTCCATTTCAGAATAATATATATGATATGATTTATAATGATTGATCATTAAAGTGTTCTCAAAGCTGGTAAAGGTGCAGCTAGTTTGAATGATATATTATATATCTGTATACTGCAGGGTAGCTTGTGAATTTACTAAAGTCTGAGTTAACACTTGATTATATTTCACATCATTCATCCACATCTGTAAAGTAACTAAAGGTATTAAATACATGTAGTGGAGTAGAAGTACACCATTTAACTATGAACTGTAGTGGAGTAGAAGTACACAGTAGCAAAACATTTAAATACTCCAGTAAAGTACAAGTACCTCAACATTTTACTCAAGTACAGTACAATATTTTAACATAATTATATATATTTAATTTATTTCACATTTTAAATAAAGCAATTAATTCGGTTAACAATTTGTTAGTTTTTTCCTTTACAAAATAACAAAAAGTAAATACAAGAATACCGTTAAAGTACCGGATCGATAAGCAGTTTTGATAAGACTAGTAGTACCGTAGAAAACCTTAACGATACCCATCCCTAGATATTACACAAGTAAAGTGTTAAGAGAGTGAAATGTTGCTTTACGAATGTCAACACTTGATGCTGTCACCTTGATTACAATGTCAGAAACCTGTATTTGCCTAACTGAATTGGTTTAAAGAGAGAAAACATTTTGACTAAAAGTTGACTAAAATGTAATTTTTCGTCGACTAAAACTAGACTAAAACGTTTTGAGTTTTCGTCGACTAAAACTAGACTAAAACTATGAAGGATAGAAATGACTAAAATGTGACTAAAACTAATTACCATTTTCGTCTAAAGACTAAGACTAAGACTAAATCAAAAACAGCTGCCAAAATTAACACTGGTGGAGGTGAAGGGAATGAGCACTTTTACAGCCCTTTTGGCGAGGTGGGGGAACTCGGTCTCCACAGACAGCCACAAGTGGGCAAGTGTCACTTAACTAATCTTTTTCTCGTTATTTTTTGTCTCACGCTGCGCCTCCCCCGAGTCTTTCTGGCGCCCCCCAGGGGAGGCGCGCCTCACACTTTGAAAACCGCTGTTCTAGAGTGAGGGGACAATGGCGTGTGAGAGGGGCCAAAGAATGGTAGCAGCGGTATTGGGTTGGCAAACAGTTTTGAGCTGAGCCAGAAGGCAAAGCTCTCAATCTACTGGTCCATCTTCCTTTCTACTCTCATGGTCATGGAGGGGGAACGTCATCCCAGTTACAAGCGGCTGAAATACGTGTTTTCCGGAAGGTGTCTGGATTCTCCCTTAGGGCTGAGGTGAGAGGTTCAGTCCTCTGGGAGGGACTCGAAGTAGAGCTCCTGTGTGAACAAAAGAGTCAGTTGAGGTGGTTTCGGCATCTAGTAAGGATGACACCTGGCAACTGGGAGGAGGCCATGGGCAGACCCAGGACCAGCTGGAGGGACTGCATTTCCACGTTGGCCTGGGAGCACCCTGGAATGCCAAGGGAAGTTTGGGACCTTCTGCATGGATCTCCATGACCTGACTTTGGATGGATGGATTTCTCAACTGCTTTATTTTTACATTAGTTATACATTAATTATGACATGTATCTATTTTTACAAAAACATTAAGTACATATCTGAATTTTGTTTGTCCATTGTATATTTAAGACCTTATATACCATCCATTTTGTATTTATAATTGTATATGAAATGTTTTATTCCTGTGGTGTTGTTTTTATATATTGCTATATAAAAGTGTTACTTGTTGAACTACAAACTTCAACAAGTTTGCAAGTTTGATTGATTGTTTTTCTCATTTTATGACATAAGGATGACAAGTTTTTTTATCCTCTGTCATCCTTTTCTTCTACTTCCTGCTGGTAGAAACCTGTCCAGGAATATCTGCTCTTCATGTCAGCAGCAACAGTAACGTTTGACACAATATTAGTCAAAGAACTTAGAACAACTCGCACAGGTCCCTCAAATAAATGCATCATATGTAAATATGATCAAAATAAGAGTCTGTAAAGAGAGACATGAGATCACATTCAACATTTTGGTCCCTTTATTTCATGTTAACCACATTTCAAACAACTAAACAACCAATGGTAATGGCATCACCAGATCTAAACAGCACTGCTAGACAAATAATCATCAGAATAATAATTATACAAAAGAAATGTACAAATTCAGGACATAAAAAAAAATCCCAAAAGAAAACAAACAAAATATATAATACAGATGAACGGCCAGGAACCAAGCCAATAAAATAAAGCCTTTTAAAATGAAAATGCTTCTGGCTTTTACATCATCTTCAATACAACACTTTTACAGTCTCTGTCGAGATAGGTCCTTTAGTGAGCCTGGTACGACTCCAGCAACAACAACAAAAATCAAGCGCAGACTGAACAGTTTGCCACAAGTACGCCGGTTCTGTCCAAGAGAATTAAAAGCTACGAACTTTACTAACTAAATAGATGTTCATTAGAGACCTTTGTGAAATGTGAAGTTTCATTCCAAACTGGTTTATCCATTGTGTGAAAATACTGACACATGCCGGTATAAATTGACGCCTGACATAAAGGTAATTATGGGGATACAATTTTACACAATGATTCTTCAGTAACAGATTCACTGCCTTTCCAAAATGATGCGTTTGATCTGCTGTCTTTTTCCTGTAGTTAGTATATGTCAGACTTTCCAGTGACTTGGCTTTAATCCCGAAAGAATGACAAACAATTCCAAAGACCCTGTGTCCACTTAGTGTGTGTTTCAGATTTCTTTCAAAAATAAACCTTTCAAAGCCTTTAATGAACGTTTCTAGGATAATGATAACTTAAAAAACAAATCACCAATTCTGTATGACTAACTAGCCCCATTGCTTTTTGGTATCTATTTGGGCGACTTTACACTTGCTTGTAATTGATTTCTGACTATTACAGCCAACTGGAATATGCTTGCTCTCACACTTTGTATGAATGAGCTTTACCGCTCAATCTGACAGACGTACGGAGAGGAACCGATCTGGCGATAGTAAAACCATTCAGGGTCCGTTTGTCCAATCTGCTTAACCAAACGCTTTTCGGTCTTTGTTATGACACTAATCGTATTGAAGAAACGGCTAAAACAAAGTTCTCCTCCAATTTCTATGGCTTTCTGAAAAGTTGACATATTTTCCACTAGAAGCACTTGGAACGGCCGCAGCTAAAACGGCAAAGGCTCAGGAAAGACATTGGGTGCTTTTCCTCAAGGTGGCTCCTCATCATTAAAAGCAATTGATATAAAGACGTGCTCAGAAAAACTGGCTATGTGGACACAGGGATCGAAAAACAAAAAAAGGGAGTGTATCTTTAAAATGAGCTTTTCCATTCATTGTATACATTTTCTAAATGGACAAAAGAGGAACACATGTGATCAGATGAGGAGCGAAGGGCAAGCTGAGGTCAGCGTTACATCCTGTATGATTCTCATTAACTCCAACACTTCAAAGCATGTCAGCCATGTTGACCTTCTTCACATAGGGGTCAATCATCAACAGAAATCATTTCCTATTATACTGACGAGGTAATTTGGCAAACACATTTTCAAACACACCTCAATGGGCTTATCCAAAAGCAAATGTGAGGCTTTGTTTGCAGAGGAAAAGTGAATGTGACCCGGCTAGGCTAGGTGACCGTCTGATTTCTAAGCTTCTGTTTTTCTGAAAATAATCCGGAATGTAGTATACATAAAAAAAAAGGTCATGGGTAATGGATCTGATTTCATTCAAGGACACTTAACAAGTCTATCATTTTAATTAGCACGGTTAACGTTTCTACTGCAGTCATGTCAGATTTGCATTTCCGAAGGTATTCCAAAGATCAGTTTTGTCTGATAGCAATATATATTTGATAAATGTGTGCAAAGATGTTATGATTTCTTGCCTTTTGCTTCCACCCAGATGAATGCTGTTAAACTAAGCTGCTTCAGGTCATTTAAAAAACAAATGGGCACAAATGTGAAAATAAACCCCATTGAAAAAAGGAAACATATTTTTCACGGCCCGGGTAATATAATCAAAAGCTACAAAACACAGCTCTAACGTTATAAAGCTACAAGCTACTGCACACTCTTTGATTGATTGCTTTTGCCTGCCTGCAGTTCAGCAGGGACGGACAGGGTTAGGTTAATCTGATTTCATTTAATAACTCATCCCAGTTTGTTCAATGTCCTTTCAGCATTTCAAAGTCAAATCAAACTTTTGGAACCACAAAAACACAACAAAGTCAAATAAGTTAAATGTTCTTTAGTTTTACATCTGGAACGATTAAATGCATTTTTCAGTTTTATCATGAGTGTTTGAAAAAGTCTACTTGATGAAAAAAAACATCATTGCTTCCTTATCGTAAGTCACAGATGTGGGCGGCGGCTTAATGTGCAATATGCAAAAATATATATATCTTCATTTTTTAAACAATATGTGTCTAATTGGACTGTTTTTTAAGTAACTTTGTTCCAAACTATAATACCAAGTCGCTGAAAATTATAATGTTTGGAAATGATAACCTTTGTTTGTGTCTGGCGCATGATGTTTGTCTGTTTGTTTGTTTGTTTGACTGTGGTTGTCTTATCTTATTTACAGCAAGGGGGATGCACACTATAAGATAAAGCCATCCAAAAACATTCATGAAACCTTTTTTTTTTCTTTTTCATAAAGCCCCAATGTAAAAATCTGTAGCAGAGACAACAAAATATAATCTTAAAGGCAAACTAATTATTTTTATTTTTCTTTTGTCTGTGTAATGCCAATGCTCCTCTCCACCATGCACCGGACTTCACTCACTATATCTTCTTAAATGCTACTTCTTCCTGTTTTTACTAGTAATTACAATCAGCTCTTTCCTTGAAAAGCAACAATTTACAAAAAAAGTATGCTTAGCACTTAACATTGATGCAGTGAAGTGGTCCTGGCAACAAGGAAATGTCTCTGTGTGTGATTTCAGAGAACAGTGGTCTCTTGTTTTTTGCTTTATCACGCTCCTACGGAGGCCGACAGGTGCAAACGCGCTACAATGCCCCAACACACTAACAGGAGGAGAAACTGTCACTGGAAACTCATCTGAAATGTAAGTTGTATCTGCTTATTTTAACAATGTGATCGCATGATTCCTTCTGATATTATTTCTGATCTGCTGTAAGCTAGCTAGCAAACGTAGCTAACCTAGTCATTTCAGATATACTGATAACACTTATGAAACATGCTAACTCTGCCAAATTCGATAAAGCTCCAGTCCAAGCTGTGCACATCCCTTTTTAGGTTTCCAGTTTCCATTTTGTTTTGAGCTTCTTGCAACAGCCTTGTGTTTATGCAGGGCTCTCAGTGAATGGTGCAAAGTGCATGTGTTGCATGTGTTACAGCACATTTGTGTTTTTATATTTGCTTTTTTAAAATGCAGCACGTTTCTTCTAATGTAATTATTTTGGGCTGTTGTAGCGCGTTTGCCCCTGAAGGCCACCATAGGTTCGTAACCTTTGGTCAACATCTCAGCAAAACAAGCTTTATTTTATACTCTCCAAAAAGCAGGTTTGATGCATCTCTTCACTTTAAGCTAAAAGTAAAAATCTTCCAGTGTGCATCCAGCCTTCACAGGGAGACAACATTCAAGGCGTAGAATATATCTAAAAAGGAAATACTGTACAATAGTCACATCACAGCCCAGCAGAGAGGACAGAGAGATAGAGAAGGAAAAGCGGCGCTTTTTTTTAAACATCTTGTTTTCTTTTTTAACATATCATTTTTTCTGTTTTCTTTGTACAAGCATGTAAAGTTCACAGTCTCGCTGAAGCGAACACACACACACGAAAATCACCAGTGTGTGTGTAAGTCGCTTTTTGCTCTTCTGTACAGGTTGTGTGTATGTGTTGTCATAGGCACACACGTAGATGCACACGCACACACTCAAATGTGCAAGCATGCCCTCTCTTATTCACACAGAATCACGTGCACAAACTCTCAAACACACACACACACACACACACAGGCACACATGCTCACAGGTCGGGTTGGGTCAACACAAAGCAGTCAGTCTGTGTGTACCAAGTGTCGCGTTGAGAGTGATGGTCAGCGTCGAATCAGAAAAGAGGATTTCAGCCCACAGCCAATCAGAAGGAGCTGAGCGCCTCCAGAGCCACTTCATAGCAGAACTTATACTGCTCCTGTGGAGGGGACGGAACGGAAAGAAAAGGTCAATCATCTGCTGAATGATATCTTTGTTATTTTTACACAAGCGCAACCAAATATTAAAAACTATTTATTAAGTTCATTACATTTTAAATATGGTTTAAACACCCTAAATGTAACTTACTCCGGGCATGATATTGTAAATATTTCTTCAGAATCAGAAAACCATTATTCCTCCCACAGTGGGAAGATTTACATTGTTGCAGTTATACAGAGACATTTCTTATATACATACTTGGTATGTCCCAACATGTGTTTTGCTCAAAAAACAAGGCAGTATGGGTAAAACAAAAAAGGAAAACATGCCTTTTTGTATGTCTTTGTGATATTTTATTTAACGGAAATAATAGAAAATATAATTATAGATTTAACTGGACTATATGTTTTGGTTATAAATCACTGGTTGTTCTTAGTCTAGTATGTATATATTGAAATAAGTTAGGACTGTACATTTGAGCCAGCAAGAGATGCATACTGCCAGTAATGCTCTTCTTTATTAGGCAATAATATGTCTGCATATGTATATATTTATAGGTTTTAGTTGTATGTCAGAATGTGTTTGTGTTTCTCTGATGCTTACTCAATTGTGAATCAAAATCTTCAATCTTCAAGAGTCTGTCTTAATCTTATGAATACCAATATGGTTTTTAATCATCATCTCCTTATAATAATAATAATAATAATGATAATACATTTGATGTTATGTTTCTGCATGGGGTTTTTGGTTGTTGTGTTGTTTCCTGTTGTTTGCTCCTTTTACCCCTCACTACTCTGTCTCTCCTTGAAGGCTTCTCAATTCTCTCATTTCCCCTCCTCGACTCCTCTCCTCGTGTCTTAGTCCCGCCCACAGGAGATGTGAGCGGAGGAGTCGAGGAGGGGAGCCGAGGAGAGAGGAGGGGAAGCAGCAGGCGGTTAGAGAAATGAGAACTCCTCTCCTCTGAGCGGTCATTTTAAAGAGACGTCCATTAATGATGACAGGAGGCACAGCAGCCCTCTGTCTGATGGACAGATGTGTTCATGACCACTTATATATTTACTTTTAATTCATTCACAGTGCGGTATAATGAGACAATAACAGGCTACAGATGCGGACATATACACACACACACATATTTATATAAATATATACAATTTCAGAATCAAACAAGTATGAGAGCACTCTCATAATAACGTAACACAATCAGAGACTGGATATATATTCTATATTTATATATATTTAGAGAAATGAGATGTCCTTCAACATGGCACGCTGAAATCCATTTCCGGGTCACTACCGGAGGACCGAGGAGTCGAGGAGTCGAGGAGGGGAAATGAGAGAATTGAGAAGCCTTCCTTCTCTGCAGGGCTGGTGAGTGACAGGGGGCGTGGCTTGTATTCTCCTGGCTGCAGATGAGGCACACCTGTTCCCACTCACCTAATCAACCTTCCCTTTAAGAGCCTGGCCCTCACTTCTCTGCCAGAGAATGAAATGCTGTTGGACGATCCAGAGTGCCTCTCTGCAGCCTTGAGTCTAGTTTTGTTCACTTTGCAGTTTTTGAGCAACTTTTTGAGTTTTCCCTCAGCTTTGTTTTGGACCTTTCTGCAGCCAGCTCCCTGTCTTCAGTACCTGCCTTGGCCTAGCTTTCTTTATTAAAACACCTTGAAACTTAACTTGTGTCAGTCTCTGCTTTGGGGTCCTAAGTAGTATCCAAATGCCACATTTGATTTATATAGCGCTTTTCCTGGTGCTCAAAGCGCTTGAAGTGTGTGTGTTTGTGTGTGTGTTGTGAGTCCTCACCATAGTCTCCACCATGTTGGTCTTGTTGTTCCTCAGTGTTTTGACGGTGTGGAAAACATCCACGATGTTCTGCTGCTGGATCATCTCGTTGATGCTGCAGATGGCACAGAACGTTCCGGAACGCCCTCCGCCCGTACTGCAGAGGAGGAGGAGGGGGGGGGGGGGGAAGGTGAGAGTTAGAAAGGAGACTAAATGTCATCATCAAACAACAACACTGTTATTCTGCAAACTTAGGTATGCTCAACAAAATGATAGTGCTATTTTGCCATCGTTAAAAAAGGTGAAACACAAAGAGACTATAAAGGTTGAATGGAAGACGGAAAAGAAAAGAGAGAATGTAAAAAATGGCTTCAGTCCTTTTAAAGCAGCATGTGCTGGAGTCAGAAAGGTTCACTTCCTTCTTTTACCGAACAGCGGGGCTTGCTACTTGCCTCTCATCACCCCGGGAGACCTTTTTAAAATGTGTTGATTCAGAAATGTTATGTTTCATTTTCCCATCCCTCAGACGTATCCAATGATACCGCTGATCTGCAGCTACTGTGTTCAGTTGAATTATGTCAACGTTTCAAACATGCTCCTAAAACCTACGAACCCTCAAAGGGTTTTTATAAGACATCATAAAACAAGTCATTGGAAGGGACTTATGTGTGAAGTGAGTGCTTTTACATGGTAGGCCAGGTTTATGTAGGAGGAATGCTTTGTCAAATGTTCAACATTTTTCTATTCAAACAGCAGGAAAGATTCACGGCTTTTGTAGTAAAATGCAAATATTCTGATTGGTCGCTAATTTGAGTCCAAATCACAATTTGTTTCTAATGAGTAAAGACGTGTTCTGTAAAGTCACATTTAAGATGTATATCTTTTTATGTATATAAAAAACAGAGCAAATACATTTCACATCAGTGCCGCCAGACACATCTTCGATTAACCTCCAACCCTTACATAATCAAGGTCAACACTCGAGTGGTACTGAGAATCAAGGACACTTTGTTTGTTGCCTTTATTTATCCAGGTAAAAATCCCATGGAGATCGATCTCTTTTACCTGGAGACCTGCCACTGGGTTATTTTCACACTTTCTTTGGAAATGTACAAGATATGTTTTGTAAGCTTATTCTCTGGTATCTGAAGTGTCCACAAGTGAGCCTTTTCAATGGAAACAAGACCATCTCATCAGGAAACTGCAACTGAAGCCCATGTCAATCTCTATTGAGACATTTCTTACATGTACTACTATCACTAACTTTGCATGTATCATCCTCAAGCTAGTTCCAGGTGATCCACTTGCTACTGTTTGTATGTACAAAGAGTTTTGAATGGATCTTACTGTATGTATTTCATTGACTTGTGACTTGGCTGCCTTCTTGTCTAGGCGCCATTGTAAAAAAGATTTGATCTTAATTGGTTTTATCTGGTTGTACAAACATTAAATGGATGATATTCGAAATATAACATGTTCAGAACTAAATTGTGTTCTGTACCATAGACAAAGCTGGGGAAGGGGATAGGCGCCACATGTGAACATTGTTTGAAATCTGTCCAAAACAGATTTGTTTTATTAATTCAAGTCAGAATTCTGTGAAAAAAAGTCTGAATCTCACAAAATCTACAAATTCTGAGAAATCTCCATCCTGACTTTAATCTTAGAATGATGGCTTTATTCTCAGAATTGTTTATGAAATGATTGGAACTGCTACATGCACAATCTTTTTCTTATTGTCCTCTATCTAAAATACACATCATTCGTATTCAAAAACACACAGACAGATGTGTTAAGTGTGTTGCTCCTTACGATGCTCTACTCTTACGCTGTGATTTGCTTGAAAATGAGACGTGCTCAGCATTAAAGACCCGTCAAACTCCCCCCTCCCAGGAAAAGTGTGGAGCGAAAGTAAAATCAATTTTCACCAGCTACTGATTGAACCATCATGTTTCCCCTTATCTGTGGTATTACTGAGTCTGTGAAATCAATACGTGGGGCTGATTAGCCAGTGTAGCGTCTTTAACCACAGGCTGCATGCTTCTCTGCATCCCTGACCAGAGAAGAGGGAAGGGCGTTTACCACCAAATACCTATGCTTTGATTTACCTTTCAGTATTCAGTATTTCAGTATATATATCTCTTTATATACTACAACTGGGTTGAAGATGTTTAATAACTATTTCAAATATTTATATATTTGCACTATGAATTAGAAATAACTATTGATGATTATGTGCTGCAGTGATGCACTCCTGCTGTGTATATATATATATATATATATATATATATATTGTGCATTTACTGGCTATGTGGCGTTCCCACTATAGAAGAAAAACAAATCAACCCAGACTTTCCAGTCTCACCTGGCTCCAATCAAATGCCTTTCATTTTCATATTGAATAAAACATTGAGGTGGAGTGGACGCCATCACAAAATATATCCACCCCCTCCGCATAAGTTATACCAGGACTTTTAATTTGAAATGATGAATGATGATGTATACACTTTAAGCAGTAAGCCCATGAAAGCAATGAGTATTGATTTAAGCTCTGGGTCAAAGGTGTATTATGCATCAGTGTCACTATTCAAGTGCCATTGAGACACAAGGGATTTGACCATTGATTCAGTATTTAAACATTCATAGTTGAGTTAAGATGCACCAGTTTTTTGATTTCTTACTTTACTTGATGTGGCCTAAAATGTATAAAAAGCTATACAGATATAAAACGCGTATTTGGGAATTACATTTGTGTAGCTTTTCTTTGACAATTGTGTGCCTCTACTGGGACATGTCTCCATGCTTTGATGTTCAAAAAGCTCTTTATTTGCTACTCTTTTCACCCTCTGTCTGAAACTAGATCCCAGTCTGCTCTGATTGGTTAGCTGGCCAGCTCTGTTGTGATTGGTCAACTACTTAGAGATGTCCCGCCCCTTAGCAAATCACCTACAATGTGTTGGATCATTAGCCAATAGAAGCACAATTGTTACATAGTGATATCACTATGTTACATAAGTAAACAAAAGAAGTCCAATTGTTGGAGAGAAACTCCCTCTGGAGGGAACTGGGATTTTAGCCTTTGCAGACCATTTACATGCACAAAAACCTATAACACACTACAGGGAAGGGAAAACCCCAAATGGCATAATATGGTCTCTTTAAACTCTCTCTTTCAGACAGAGATAGAAGACACACTGAAATAAAAAAATAAAAAATCTCCCAGCAGCTTGAAAATACAAATCAATGCCAATGCTGATTGGCCCAATGAGCTATGACAGAGGAAGCTGATTGGATCAGGACCAGTGATGCGCCTCAGGCAATCTTTGGAGTGTGTGTGCTTGGGCGTAAGTGTGTGTGTGTTATTGTAAGTGAAGTTCCCTGTAATACCTTGTTTATAGATTTTACAGCCTCTGTTTCCCTCCCTCATTATCAGCTTCATTTGTTGTGCTAAGATAGGGACTATTTTTTGTGTACCTGTCATATTTACACACATGCAAAGGTTGTTTAAAACATATATTTTCTATTGCTACCATTAGAAACCACCTTGGGACTGTACTATTGTTTATATATAATAGCAAAATATGAAACATAACTACATTTACCATAGCGGAACATGTGAAATGATCAGGTGAAATGTTGCAGATAGAGGTTAACATTGGGAAAAGGACCCCGTTTCCCGTTCTATTTTCACAACAATGTGATGAAATCATGATGAAATACTAATAATGCCAGTGTAAATATCGTATATGCTGTAAAATATGTGTACAATCAAGTTTTCTCAAAGAAATCTAACAATGTTATTAATTTACTATTACTTTTACTTTATTATTGTTTTATTTGTAGCTTACTAAAAAAGTGGATGTAATATAAAGCCTTGCGGATAAATCACAAACACAACAAATATATAAACAAGATTGAAAATGTTGAGTTAAGGCCCTTTGTATGTTTGACAGATCAGCGGGGGACAACAAAGCATTAAAGAATGATCCAACAAAGAAGAATGGTTCAGTCTAGATATACCTTATATTCTATATATCATATTAAAGGTGTGTGTGTGTGTATGTGTGAAGTGAACATGTGTTTTGTCTCACTGTAAAATGCGTTCGTGTGTTATTTTATAAAATGTGTATTTCATCATTGTTAAGCGTATCTCAACATATTTCACCTTTCTATGTCTTACACACACACACACACACACACACACACACACACACACACACACACACACACACACGCGAAAAAAGGCAACACATCCATAAAAAAACAAGGGCACATTTGTCTCTCTACGATTCGGTGTTGATCAATCATCAAAGTCCTTCTTTCACCTGCTTCCTATTATTGTATTACAAGTTATGGAGTATGTGCATCCACGTGTGTTTGTGTGTGTGTGTTTGTGTGTGTGTGTGTGTGTGTGTGTGTGTGTGTGTGTGTGTGTTGAACTTACAGGCAATGCACCACCGTCCTGCCGTCTCCTCCGTCATACTGCTCTTGCCACTTTGCCAGCCTTCTCACCAATTGGAGGATGGAGCGTTTGGAGAGAGGCGTGTCCCTGTAGGCCGGCCAGCCAATGAACTGAAAGTGCTGCACCAGGCGGTAACCGTCCTGAGGCTGGAGAGAGGTGGGGAGATTAGGATTCTAGCTGTGAACCACACAACTCCCACTGTGTTAGCACACGCACTTGTGCGCCAATTAGTTCTTCTTTCTGCCATTTGAAAAAAACGACGTCTAGACTGAACAAAGAAGACGTCTTATGATGTGTAATTACATTTCATGGCAGACAAAATGTTTTCAGTTGTCTGGCCTCGAGGTGGTTGGCATCCACAACCCCAAAAAAAAAAACCCGCCATCATGTCAGACTGATTTACCGGTAGGATGTGATATTTACACACAGATACAGCTGTATCAGTTTCCTCTCTTCCCTTCCTTCTCTACCTTTATCCTTTTACTTCCTCTTACTCTACACTTTCTACGTCTCCCCTTCCAATCAATTCCTACTTTGTTTCACTTTACTCTATTTTTCCTTTACCCAATTTCCTCCTTCGTCGCATTCACTCACTCTACTTTCCTTCCCTTCCTGACTGTTTCCCCTCCTCTCTCAAAGCTTGTTGCCGTCCTGCTCTCTCCAACTCTCCCTCCTCATTGATGGCTTAGTGGTTGGGGGTACAGACTGGGCTAGGTGGTAGCTGCTCTCACTGTGTGAGAAGTGCTGTTGTGGCGATGATATGAGCCATTTCACGCTACACTGGTGATGTGTTTGAGAGGGGGAGAGAGTGAGAGAGGGAATATAGAGGAGAGTAGGGTAGTGGGGAGTTCACTAAGCGCTATAGGAGCATGCAGACGATGAGGCACTGCGAGTTGTACCGTCATGGATGGGTGAGGCAATGAGATGAGAAGGGAGTAACAAGAGGAGGCAAGAGGGGCAGAACGAGAAGGGAAGCTGAGAGGGAAAGCAGAGGTGAGAAAAGACAAGAGGAGGAACCAGGAGACAAGAGGAGAGGACAGTTTATTTGAAATGTTCTGTTGTATTGCACCACTTCCTACCGCACTGCCGTTTTCTCTAGAGTTCCCCCTAAACTAAGACTGTTGCTACAGTGTGTTCGAGTTGTGGTCGGTTTGCTACGGCATCATCTAGCCGGCTGCTCATGGGGAAGTAAAGGTCACACAAAATGAAAAATGTATTTTATGTGTTGTTATATTTTGTTCCTCTGTGTATCGCTTCACCATCTATTGTTATATGTCAAATATAGGTCAGGAAATACATCATTTTGAGGGTTTTCATCTGAAGCATAGGCAGTTTAAGACAGAAAATAAGGGAGAGCAGAAGAGAGGGTTAGAGATAACTGCAGGCTTTGACTAGAGCTGGTTGCAGTTACAGAAAGGTCTTTCACCCAAAATGTGATTAAGAAGAATACATTTCTTGAATAATTAATTCAGAACATGTTCCAGGATCGATTGAGGACCTCTTAAGACAAGGATAGCAATCAAAAAATGCTGCTTATTGTTAATTTAATTCTTAATTTCTGATCTTAGAAATGGCAAAAAAGGTTTTCCAAAGACCTGTCCAGAAGAACCATGTGTGGTCTCTAGGTCAATGTTTAAGCTGCTGGATTCAGGTTAGGTTAGGGTTCATGCCAACACAGAGTGAGTTAGTACCCTGGCCATGTTGCAGATCCTGAAGATTCGGTTGATGATGTCTTCATCAATGTCTGCCGATATGAATTCCACTTGAATGGGACCGTAGCAACATGAGCTCTTTTCTGGCCAGTACTGCATACATAACTGTAGAAAACAGAGAAAAAAAGAAAGAATTGTAAAGAGAATGAGTAAAAAAGGAACATTTACCAGGTATATTAAACACTGTTTCCTTTCAAAAAGCATAACAGTACAAGTGATAATAGGAAACACAATTTTTCAGGAAACCTTGAATTACTTCTCATCATTGATTGTGAAGATTGTCACCTCAGTGGATGGATGTGAGTTCAATTTCAAATGATTTATACATCCACACAAAGGACTGACAAATGATTCCTTGTGGAATCAGATATTATATGCAGAATACAAATGTTGTTGTTTGTTTAACAAGGTTTCATTTACTTGTATTCAGTTTAAAATCCCAAACCAATTTACGATCAACACTGGGGGAGATAAGGTAACTCGATCTGCTTGGTTAGAATATACAAATAGCTGCTCAATGAAATCACCATGAATACAAATACTTTGTAAAAGAAAATGTGACGATTAGATATCACTTCCCCAGTTGTTAAGTTACAGTGTGGCAACATTATTCTTCATTTCTATGTTTTGGTGAATATTTGTGAAATCTATGGACACTTATTACAAGTGGTTATTTGTTTTTAATTGTTTTGGTGCAAAACTTTAACTGAACCCTTCTTAGTTGGCAGAGTATAATTCCAAGGACCTTAAATATCATTTCAAATTCATAAAAATAGTCTTGGGGTGTATTGATCCGGCCGCCGTGCAACAGTCAATGTGTCAGCTCCTGGCTGAACAGTCTTCTCTGAAACTAAATGAATCAGGCCTTCATGAGTATCTGTGTGTGCGTGTTTGTGTGTTTCTACCTGCGCTGTGTCCATCTCATTGAGCATTACGATGGATGAGCAATTGTAATCGAACACCAGCCTCCAGAAGTCGCCCATGGTGTTTGGCAAAGGATGCTGGGTAACAATGAAGGCCGCTGGCTGTTTGTGGCTCTGTAGTGATGAGAATGAACACAAATGAATAACTCAGACAAGTGAACAGAGCAATGCTCATATATCGAGACATCTCTGCAGCAGTAAAAGATGAAACTATGATTATAAATGACACACACATTCACATCGGAGAACGTACACTTACGTCCATTAACGCAGCGTTGATGTAATTGGAACTCTCTCCGTCCACAGATATGAGGAAAGGCAGGCATCGGTCTGCTGATAGAACGTCCATACTGCGGTTCTTGTCGTGGTTCCTGGGTAGCAAGCCAACACTGCAGTCCTCTGGACGCACTCTGGGGGTCACGATGTTCAGAGTCTGATGGACAGGAAATATGTTGATTAGTCCTACTTTAACATTTCCATTCTAAAAACATAGCATGCAGATTGAGTAATACTAGTTTGACGTCCTCAGGCCAAAATTCAGATTGACCAGAACTTGTTTAGTTGTTTTTGGAACAACCATCGCCTACTACTACCATACCACATTGAATTTTAACAACAAATCCAACAGGGACTTAAATGGAGGAAGAAGACCACCAGGAGAAAGTCATTTTTGGACCAAATCGATTCATTAACAATCCAAGATTCACAGCTGGCATTGTTGCTACTGACGGGCTCATCCCCGTGATGGAGGTTGAAGATTTCAAGTTGACTAAGTGGTCAACAATGGATGATTCGACTCATCGACTTACAGGGACCATCCCCCAAAATACCATTAAGAATACTTACAAATGTACCTGTTTGCCAGGCTGACAACCGGCTCAATACCAATGTGATAAAACAACTAAACATCTTGTTTTTATGTCACGGGAACATTAACGCTGAGGTCTCCGATGAATTCCTGTTAGTCCTCACAAACAACCAAAACCAGAGTGTGAGTGAATGTGTGTTCTTACCTGGAACTCATCTTTAATCTGGCTGGAGTTGGTCTGTGGGTCCAGTCTGCTGATGTTGTAGTAAATGGCTCTGAACTCACACACTGGTATGGCTGTATTCCCACATAGACACGCCTCCAAGATGGCATCATGAACGAACACGTACTGCTCCTGCAACAGGAGTCACAGCAGTTTGAGGAAAGAAGTGCTCGAGTCAATGTTTCTTTCAAGGAAAACGGACAAATATCTGGCCTTTCTGAGTAGACAGAGGATTGACTGTAGTTTCTCTGAATGGCTGCTAGTATTGACACCTTGGGGATAGAGGAAGCTGCATTTGCTTCCTTTCAAGTCTCCGACAAAGTCCACTGTTTTTGTTTGCTTTGTTTGTGTCTGTGTGTGTGAATTAATTACTTGTGTAATTATGCTCTCTCGACAGCCTGAAAGTGAATTAAAAGGGAGAAGTGCCCTGCAGTGTTTCTGTGCTTTGGATCAAGTGTGCTCTTTGTGCTCCAACTAGCTCACTGATAAAAGCATCAGCCACGGTGCATGTTAAATACCTCTATCTCTCACACTATCCTTCCAATTGATCTAGATTTTGATCGCTTTTAATTTCTCTTCCCCCCCCCTTTTTTTCTCTTAGTTTCTCTCACCCTTGTGTTTGTCTGCTGTCTCTCGCTTTTTCAATTAGCTTTTTTGCCTCACACATCGGTCTCTCGCTCTGTCGAATGTTAATTGTTGCCCTTGGAGCGGGGAGAGAGTTTAAAAGCATCATGAAATGTGCTCTCCTGGCCATTACCTACTCCACCACCAAACCCACAGACTGAAGCACACACACACACACACACACACACACACACACACACACACACACACACACACACACACACGTGAAAAAAGGCAACACATCCATAAAAAAACAAGGGCACATTTGTCTCTCTACGATTCGGTGTTGATCAATCATCAAAGTCCTTCTTTCACCTGCTTCCTATTATTGTATTACAAGTTATGGAGTATGTGCATCCACGTGTGTTTGTGTGTGTGTGTGTGTGTGTGTGTGTGTGTGTGTGTGTGTGTGTGTGTGTGTGTATGTATGTGTGTGTGTGTGTGTGTGTGTGTGTGTGTGTGTGTGTGTGTGTGTGTGTGTGTTGAACTTACAGGCAATGCACCACCGTCCTGCCGTTATTATGTTTTATCAAAGCTGGTAAAGGTGCAGCTAGTTGTAATGACTTTGTATACTGCAGGGTAGCTTGTGAATTTACTCCAGGTGGAACTAAAGTCTGATTTAAGAGGTGGTTATATTTCACATCATTCATCCAAATCTGTAAAGTAACTAAAGGTATTATATAAATGTTGGAGTAGAAGTGGCAAAAAATGTAAATATTCAATTAAAGTACAAGTATCTCAAAACTGTAGTTAAGTACACTACTTCAAGGTTCAAGGTTCAAGGTTCTTTATTGTCAATCTGACATAGCTACAGAGTAATTATGCAGTTGAAAATCTTATGTCACAGGCTTCTCCAACAATGCAACATAATAACATAACATAATAACAATAAGAGCAAGAGCAATACAAAAATAATAATAGTTATAAAAATGAAATAAAGTTATGATGTGGAATAGTGCAGTATGAGTCTATATACAAGTTATTGGAATGATATATATATATTAGGTATTAGATACATACTACTGAGTAGCAGTTGAATGTTTGAAGTTGTTTCAACAGTTCAATTTTTTAACAGTCTCACTGCCCGCGGGAAGAAACTGTCTCCGAATCTTCTTGTCCTTGCCAGGATGCTGCGGTAACGTCTGCCAGACGGCAACAGAAAGAACAGTTTGTGGCTGGGGTGATGGGGGTCTTTGATAATCCGTAGTGATTTCTTCCTGAGCCGCTGGGAGTAAAGGTCCTCCATGGATGGCAGCTCCGTCCTGGTGATGTGCTGTGCAGTTTTCACCACCCTCTGTAAAGCCTTACGATCGAGGTCGGTGCAGCTGCCGTACCAGGCCGTCATGCTGCCAGTCAGGATACTCTCTATCGTGCACCTGTAGAAGTTGCAGAGTATCCTGGAATCCATTTTGAACCTCCTCAACCTGCGGAGGAAGAAGAGCCGCTGTCGAGCTTTCTTGGTGATGGTGGTGGTGTGAAGAGACCATGTCAGGTCCTCAGTGATGTGGACCCCAAGGAACCTGAAGCTTTTGACTCTCTCCACCGTAGTCCCATTGATGGCGATGGGGGCGTGTCCCTCTCCCTGCTGCTTCCTGTAGTCCACAATCAGCTCCTTTGTTTTGCTGATGTTGAGATGGAGGTTGTTCTCCTGGCACCAAGATGTCAGGTTTTCGACCTCCTCTCTGTACGCCGTCTCGTCATCGTCTGTGATCTGGCCGATGACGGTCGTGTCATCAGCAAACTTCACGATGGTGTTGGAGCTGTGTGTGGCCACGCAGTCGTGGGTGAACAGGGAGTAGAGGAGAGGGCTGAGCACGCAGCCTTGAGGGGCACCGGTGTTGAGAATCAGGGTGGAGGATGTGATATTTCCCACCCGCACTGCCTGGGGTCTGCCCGTCAGGAAGTTCAGGATCCAGTCACAGAGGGCGCTGTTGAGCCCGAGGTCTCTGAGCTTGATGGCCAGCTTGGAGGGCACAATGGTGTTGAATGCTGAACTGTAGTCAATGAACAGCATTCTCACATATGTGTTCCTGTTCTTCGGGTCCAGGTGTGAGAGGGCAGTGTGGAGGGTGAGGGCTATGGCGTCGTCTGTGGACCTGTTTGCTCTGTAGGCAAACTGCAGGGGGTCCAGAGATTCAGGGAGGGAGGAGGTGATGAATAATTTGACTAACCGCTCAAAGCACTTCATTATGATGGAGGTGAGTGCTACTGGGCGGTAGTCGTTGGGGCAGGTGATGATTGTCTTTTTGGGGACAGGAATGATGGTGGAGTGTTTAAGACATGTGGGGACTACAGACTGCAGCAGGGACCTGTTGAAGATGTCTGTGAACACCTCTGCCAGCTGAACTGCACACACCCTGAGAACACGGCCAGGGATGCCATCAGGTCCAGGAGCCTTGTGTGGGTTAACCCTTTTAAAGGATTTACACACATCTGCCCTATTTAAAACAAAAGGGCAGGGCTCCTGGTCCCTCTGTACCTCCACAGCCTGGCTGCTCTCAAAGCGTGCAAAAAAAACTGTTTAGCTCATCTGGGAGAGATGCGCACGCAGACACTCCCGCAGCACCCCCCGCTGCTCCTTTGTAGTCAGTCATTGTCCTTAGTCCCGCCCACATATTCCTAGTGTTACAGCCTTTGAAGTCAGATTCCACCTTGTCTTTGTACTGTCTCTTTGCATTTTTTATTGCTCTCCGGAAATCATACCTAGACTTCCTGTACTCCTCCAAATCTCCCGCTGTGTGCGCGAGAGTGCGCGCTTTCAGTTTGCCGCGCACCTCACCGTTTACCCAGGGCTTTTGATTTGGGAATGTCCGTACAGAAACCTTCGGTACCACGTCATCGATGCATTTCCCAATGTAGCAGATGACAGTGTCCGTGTGTGTGTTGATGTTATTGTCCTCAAACACACTCCAATCCGTAGATGCAAAGCAATCCTGCAGTGCTGAATCTGACTCCACGCTCCATCGTTGTACTGTCCTTGTTATCGGTCTGTCCCTTTTAAGTTTCTGCTTGTAAGCAGGCAACAACAGTAGTGAGATATGGTCTGATTTGCCGAAGGGAGGGCGAGGGAGAGCCTTATATCCATTCCGGAAAGGGGAATAAACATTGTCCAGTATGTTTCCCCCGCGCGTCGGGAAGTTGATGTGTTGGTAATATTTTGGCAAAACCTTCTTCATGTTGGCGGTGTTGAAATCTCCGGCCACAACGAACGCCGCATCTGGCCGTGAAGTCTCGGTTTTATCAATAAACCCAAACAGCTGATCGAGTGCCGTGTTGTTGTCGGCGAGTGGCTGCGGCGGGATATACACTGCTGTTATCACAACAGATGTGAATTCCCTCGGCAGATGGAAGGCCCGACATGAGATCATGAGGTGCTCTAGCTGTGCGGAACAGTCCGATGAAATAATCTTCACATCTGAGCACCAGTTGTTGTTAGTCATTACACACACACCGCCTCCCTTACTTTTCCCCGAGTTTGCAGTCCGGTCCTGACGAAAAATAGAGAATCCGTCAGGGACAATAGCGGAGTCCGGGATAGCGGGGTTGAGCCAAGTCTCAGTGAGAATTAACACATTACAGTTCTTAATGTCCCGTTGAAAAGCAATCCGGCTTCTGAGTTCATCTAGCTTATTTTCAATGGATTGAACATTAGCCAGAAGAATACTCGGAAGAGGGGGCCGATTCTCACGTTTTCTCAGTCTGACCAGCAACCCGGCCCGGCATCCCCGCTTTGTCTTCTTCTTGCGTCTCTCAGGTAGAACAGCAACAGGTAGCCATGGTGAATCTCCATTGTTTGTCGGAGGGTTAATATTGTCCACGAAGTTTCGCAATTGGAAAAGTTCCTCTCTGCTATATTGTATGGCAGAGTAGGTGCGGTCGGCTAGCATGTTGCGAACCATGTTAAAAGTAAAACGGCAAAAGTAAAAGAAATATGTACAAAATACGAAAATGGGCAAAGTTGGAGAGGAGCACAAAGACGATGCGGCCATCGTCACCGGCGCATCATTATTATTATTACTTTATTACATGTTCATAGTTACTTAACACCACTGTTAACAATACACACACAGACCTTAGTGTGTCAAAAGGACTAAATAACGTCTGTTCATTTTATGATTTGTTTGGGGGGACAGTAGCTTTAAATGAAGGTTATGGACAGAGGCAGCAGGTTGGGATGTGTCAACAATATGGTTAACTATGACAAGTATGGAGGTAAGGTGCAAGAGTCAAATTAATTGATAATAAATATAGGTGATGAAAATGGAGTTGAAGCGAAACATTCATTTTCAAGGGATTCGATTAGCTGGAAGCTGATTTAATTACAACAGTGGTGATATGATGAAAAGAGAGCCGTGTTTAATCATTTTCACCTGTCATTCATTCACAACAAAACATTACCATCAATCATTTAGGCAGGGTGGCCTGAGTAACAAATTATAATTGAAAAATTATGATTCAAGTGCTTACAAATGAAAATGGAAGGGATAAAATGTATGTGAATAAAAAAATGGTAAGATCACCTTGATTGACATTTTAAACGGTGGGGCACGTAATCAACTATCCGTTCATTACTCACATCATTTATCTGAAGTTTTTAAACCACTGTTGGTGGCCATGTATTCATTGAAGCTGTTTTATTAAAATCAGATTTAGATTATTGTGTATTAATTATGTATCACTACATTTTTTACTTTAACTGCATTTTTCATAGTAACAAAAATAATGTGTTTTAGAAGTGGCAGAGATGGTTCTTACTTTCAAGAGCCAACTCAAACCCACCATTTACATTTTTTTTTAAATTAAATCAATCAATCCTACGTTTATTGACTTTTGTTGTTATGGCGTGTTTTTATTCATCACAAAGTTAGATGTTGCTGCATTAGAATTGCTTTTATTTTATTTTATGTTTGTGTTGCACTTTGACTTGCCTTTTGTTTATGGAAAGTGCTATACAAATAAAGATTGATTGATAGATAGTTAGAGTAATAGTTGTTGTAATAATAATAATAATACATTTTATTTTTATAGCGCTTTTCTAAACCCAAAGATGCTTGAAGTTGTAGTACTAGTAATATTTAGACGTGGTGTGTTCTGTGTGCTGCAGTTATCTGGTGGAGATCAGTGCCAGGAAGACTCTCCTGCTGGGTGGATGTCGGCACACCTGTGTGAAAGGATACATGCAGCCACGCTGCTGCCCACAGCACTGGGGACCCCTGTGTCTATGTGACACACACACACACGCACGCACGCACGAAAAAAGGCAACACATCCATAAAATAACAAGGGCACATTTGTCTCTCTAGTACTCTTCTTTCACCTGCTTCCTATTATTGTATTACAAGTTATGGAGTATGTGCATCCACCATTCAAAACTATCTTTTTAATCACGATGTCATGTAAAAACACTCAAAGTGATAGATAACGTTTAACCTAGCACTTTTAAAACCCATTGCAAAGTCAATTTCAGTCTTTAAACTTGAGCTGTCACTTTCAAAATTAGGTTGTTTTGTCTTCATTCCTGGTAAAGTTGACTTTTTGGATGTGCACGGTTTTCATCAGTTGAACAAATGGAATGCAGGGGCGGGATGGATTAGGTGGTCTTAAGGTGGCTTAGAGATTAAATGAAGGCTTCTGTTCCAAATGAAACACCTAACATTTGAAGATGCACACTCTTTAACAATTGATTCATAGGACAAAATTAGAACAAATGATTACGCCGTGTAATGGTATCACTAAAGCCTCAGCTCATTAAAAGGGAGAACTTTATCGGGAATAGACTATTTTAATATTACCTGTTGAATGAGTTTGAATGAGTTTGTTTATGTTTTTGTGTGTGTGTGTGAGTGTGTGTGTTTGCACAAGTGTCATATGCTTAGAATTCAAGGAATGTTTAATATGAATAGGCTGATAGAGATGGATGATATAAGACCACAAGAAGTACTCTGTCTCTCATTACATGCGTCTCATACTCCACCTCCACTGGCCGACAGACAAACAGACAGCTGGATAGATTGGCGGGTATGTATATGTGGGTGTATAAGAGATATTGATAATGTAGCTTATCGCTGTAGAATTATGCTTCCAGTCAATATTTATTAAATTCTCATGACTTGGATTTTGGATGACCCCACAGTATTGAGTGTATGTAAGTCGCCTTGGGTAAAAGCGTCTAACAAGTGACATGTAATGTAAGACTTCTTCCTAATTGAACTGAATGTGTCCGTATTCTTCAAAAATACATAACCCTTCATTCTGAGCACACCGACCTCTGTCTGCACCATGTTGACTCGTTGTGATCTCAGCTCTCGGATGCAGTTGAAGATGTCCACCACGCCTTCATTCTCTGCCATGTCCAACATGATGTCCACTGCAATGAAGCAGCCTGTCCTCCCTGCACCGGCACTACAGGGACAAATAAACAACCAGGTTATTACCAATCTATTAAATATATTTTTTGGTCTGAACCCTATGCTGAAAGGTGTGACTTATGACAACAAATTATAATAATAATAACCAGAATAATAATAATAATAATACAAAGATAAGATATGATGTACTTTATTGATCCCAATTTGGGAAATAAAAAAATTATAAAAAACATTATGTTTAAAGCATTATTCAAAATAAGGTGACAACGTGCTTCCCAAAATATTATGTATATTAGAAAAAGAAGAGTAGGTAACAATACAAAATAAAGTAACAGTGTTACAAAATGATAAGAACAAAATGAATGAATGGGCAGGTAGATACATAACAGCACATAGGAAAAACAGAGCAACACAAAAGTTTAATGTCAGGTTGGAAAAAATCCCTTTCCTACACAAATGAATGACAAATGTCACAGTTGCATATTAGGTGTCATTTTCAGGAAACACTACTACCATAAAACTTCAGTGATTCTCTCCTAGAAAAAAAAAACTGATGGCTTTTGTGAAGCCTGAAATACACAGCGAGTTTTGAGTATGAGGGTGGAGTGTCTCTCAGGCGGTGTTTACACGAGAACGAAGCGGGCTGTATCCGCTACTTTTCTCTCGCGTATAGCCCGTTCGTTCACACGAGGCCGTAACGGAACCGCGCAAACGGATCCCGCAAACGATAACGGGTCCCAAGGTGGATAGATCTGCAAACGGAACAGTCTGGGGGGCCAAACGGCTCAGTGTGTACGTCCTATACTATCATTTCCTGATAACGATGAAGCCATAGCCCCACCTCTGCTGCTCACTGCTGTAGCATGGTCAGTAGCTACTGTCAGTAGCTACTGCTACTGCTACTGCTACTGACCATGCTACAGATGTTAGTTCAAAATCTACAGCTCGACCATGCTACAGATGTTAGTGCAAAATCTACAGCTCCTCTACCACAACCATCAGCAACAAGTGGACATGGAGAATTACATGAACTACATGTTGCTAAATCTACCGCGGGGCAAAAACAGAAGGGCAACCATGCTCGGGGGTCTTCTTCGCTGCTTTTGGTGTATTTTGTGGCAGAAGTACAGCGCCACTTACAGGCCCGGCATATGTACTAAAGCGTCTCCAGCGCTTACGAGCGGTCTCGTGCGGAAGTACAGCGCCACTTACAGGCCCGGCATATGTACTACAGCGTTTCCAGTGGTCTCGTGTGAACGGACACGTTAAATGAGCCAAATGCGTGTGAACGGAAGACTTTTTTGGTAACGAATTCGGTCCGTTTGCGCTCCCGTGTAAATGGGGTCTCACTTTGTCTCACTCACACACAAACATGGAGAGACTTTAATACCCCATGTCAGGTGTTAAAGTGGCACATCCTGAACAGTAATGCCTGCAGGGAATAGACGGATGGAGGGACAGAAGAACAGATGGAGGGATGGAACCAGCAAGCGAGAGACACAGGGAGAGAAAGAGGGGAGAGCTTGGTGATTGGGAGTGATAGAAGTGGTCGTCACAGGGGAGAGATCAAGGGGGGAAAGAATGGAGGGATGGAGAAGGAGCTGAAGGGGTGAGGTATGAAAGGATGCAGAGAGGGAGGGGAGGAACCTATCTTTCTCTTGGCAATCCCCCTGACAGTTCCCTGAGACAGCTCCAGAGTGAGGGAGAAAGAGAGGGAAAAAAGGCAAGATGGAGGGAGAGAAAGAAAGGAACGCCTCGGCAGATTACCTGTCACCCCTGTGATTAATGTCGATACCAGAATACTGCTGGGCCTCGGTGTGTGTGTGCATGTATGTATGTGTGTGTTTGACGGCCTCATGACACAGGCCAACAGCGTCAGAGTGCCCCCGGAAATTGGAAGTGACTGCCACAACTTCCTGCCTGTCTGTCCACATACTACAGCTGTTTCTTTCTGGTTTTTTGCCCGCCTCATTTTTCTGTCCGCTGTTGTCTTCCACTAAGTGTGTATGTACACTTATTTTTTCTCTAATAGCCTGTTGGTCTTTGTGCCTGTTTCTTTCCGTACTGTTAGAGGAAGTAGAAATCAGAGTGTGTGTATTTTAATTAATTGTTAATGACTCAATTTTTTTAAGTAAGCCTCTTTATTACTTTACTTTTAAAGAGGCGCTATTATGCTCATTTTCATTTTCAGCTTCATATTTGTATGTAGTGTCTCTACTGTGACATGTCTCCATGCTTTAATGTTCAAAAAGCCCTTTATTTTTCTCAAACGGCCTGTGCTGCAGCACCTCTTTTCACCCTCTGTCTGAAACCAGAGCCCAGTCTGCTCTGATTGGTTAGCTGGCAGGCTCTGTTGTGATTGATGTCCCAACCCTTAGCACAAACAAAGCGTTGGAGCGCTAGCCAAAAGAGGTGCAAGTGCTACACAAAAACACACACTACAGGAAAGGGAAAACCCAATAAAGCATAATGTGGCTTCTTTACTGGCTTTTATTTGCTATCTCACATAAAGCACTATTTTATTGCATTATTTATCCTCTTTATTTCATCTCTTTATTATATTGTATCTTGCATTGTTGGAGGAGCCTGGGATTTAACATTTTCATTGCCAACAAAGCCTTTGAATCTTGCATCTTGAACAAAAGTGTTTTGTAAAAAAACACAAAAAAACTAGAACTCATAACTCAATATAATAAATGGTGTATCATTTCATGGTTTGTGTTATATTTTCAACATTTGTTTTGTTTAACCATTACAGCAATTGTTCAATATCTTGGACAAGTAGTTTTATTTGAATCAGCGGTTCATAAACTGGGGGTTGTTAAGTTTTTACTAGATAAACCTGCCAAAATGCTGCAGAGAGGGACATTTATTATTTTATGAATTATGTTTATACAATAAACATTTGGAAGGTGCATGCTGCAGTGTCAACTTAATTTTACTTTAAAAGTAACAAGTTCCTTTTCTATTTGTCTCTGTAAGATGTCACATATTAACCCTTAGATGCATAAGTGGGTATTTTTTGACCCGGTGAGGTGGTTTTCTTAGAGTATCTTTGTAATTACATTTTTTTTTATCATTTCATATTCTAGCTATTCCTCAAAAATCATGTTTTGGATATCATGCCTTTTAAATTGTATACATTTTAAGAAAAGTTTTTGTATTACTACCCCAAGCTTCCATATGTGGGTCAAAAATGACCCGCATGCATTTTCTATGGAATTTCGTTTTATTTTCAAAATGTAAAAAAAATGTCTAAAATTATAAATAGTGAAAACTTAAATATAAAAGATTTCTAGTGTGAACCAAAATATAATACTAAATATTATACGAGTGGTTTTTCTTAACCAAAATGACAAAAATGGCATAAAAACACATATTATTCTAATACGGGTCCTTTTTGACCCACTTATGGAAGAGTGTAGGGTCCAGTCACTCGTGCATCTAAGGGTTAAAGTTGCAGTTATATATAAATTACAGACATGTTTTAATAATTTCCATTGGAGTTGCATGCAACGGACTTGTCTAAGAGTGTGTAATGTGAGTGCATGAACAAGGGGGGATTTTAATATATTTGTATAGGTCTTTTTAAAACATGTCCTCAGGGAGGGTAAGAGTATATGGCATTATTCTCAATGTAATGTAACAGAAAGACAACAAGTACAATTTAAAGGGGACCTATCATGCAAAATGCACTTTTGTACGTCTTTTATACATGAATATGTGTCCCCGGTGTTCCAGGGAACTCACCAAGTGTCAGAAAACACAACCCTCTCTATTTTCCTCCATACCCAAATCTCTAAAAAAAGGGGCTGCAACTGATCTGATAAAAACTGATCCAGATTTGAACACTGTCCTGACGTCAGGACAGTGGCGCTACGGCTATTGGGCCAACTCTCCACCTATCAGGGGAATGTGGGGTTGGGCCACGGCCGGCCATTGCCGCTCGAAAGCGCTGGAGACGCTGTAGTACATATGCCAGGCCTGTAAGTGGCGCTGTAGTCTGCCACAAAAGCAGCGAAGAAGACTTCCCGCGCATGGTTGCCATGGTTGCCCTTCTGTTTATTTTTCTCCCTCCCCGAGGCAAGCGTCTGCGCCTCCTGCTGCTATAATTCAATGCAATCCCTCCCCGTCGAGGCAAGCACTGTAATTCTCTCCGGTAGTCCGTTAGATTTTTTTCCGCCGGTCAACATGTCCGTTAAAGTTTAAATCTTCCGGACAAAATTAGAAAAGTGCCGGTCAAAGGTCTTCTTTGTTATTTATTGAGCTTTAAAACAAATGAATAATGACTCTATATAATCATATATAAGAATAAAACACGGAGGATGGAGATCTCTTTTTCTCCCCCTCTTCTGACAGCCCAGCAGCTGATCTCAAAGCACGCTCCCCTCTCCTGCAGGGGGGCGTGGTCAGCTGCAGCTCACAGAATCAGCCCCCTGCAAAAACAGGCCTGGAAAGAGCAAATAGAGCGAAATGAGGCATGGCTAAAATGCAGGATCTGTTTGGTATTTTGAAAAAAAAACTATATTTATATACTTTATACAGGGATGGCCCTACAATATATTGTTCAAATATAGCATGATATGTCCCCTTTAAGCAGGTAAAGAAATGGCTCAGTTGATGCCCTTTGTGTTGCCATTGGCATAAACACGCAGAAGAAGCCTGTTTAATTCTACTTGACTGTATGAGGGCCTTTTGTCTCTAAGATGCACTCCCCAGAGTAGGTTAGGGGTTTATTCCCTCTGTGGCCACACATGCAAGCTATGCATTGTATTAAAGTGGACCGCTAAATGGAATACATTCATTGTAAATGTTCACGCCGATATGAGGCTCCTACTCCAAACTGTTTTTCATAGCTTGTCAGAGCGCTGACCTTTTAAAGCCTGTGCCTGCTGACAACCTGGCCCCAGAGTTGAACTGTTATGTCCCATAAAGAACAGAACATGGAGGTTAAATATACTGTCACCATGGGGATCTTAAAACTGTCACTTAATTTTTTTTTACCACCTTTATTCCTGGTAGATTATGGTGGTGGTCGGTGAAAGTGGGGTGGGAGGTGAACTTCTTTCTTCTTTTTTTCAGTTGCTTGCTTTTTAAAGGTTAGCTCCATTGATCTCATTTATACTGAGGGACATTGGTGTGTGCGTGTGTGTGAGAGAGAGATCATATCATTACTTATTACCTATTCTATTGCCTTAACTGAGGAGGAAGGGGGAACAGAAAAAAGGGAAAAAGAAAGGGCTGACAGTGAACTAGTTTTCGAGCTGCTATCAAATACAATGTTATTGAGAAATACAGATGGATCCTAGGATTTCTTATAGATTCATAAAAATATGCCTTACATGTAAGTATTGATATATATATATATATATATATATATATATATATATATATTTATAAATGTAAGTATATTTATATATGTAAGTAATTGTTTTATTAAACATAGTATCATCTTCTTATATTAGGGCAATGCGATGACGCCGGAGGAGGCCGGACCAAAACCGCGGCACAGCCGTAACGCGGCGCAGACGGACCCGGTGGAATCTAGGGGTGAGTGAGCGGCTGTTTGTTTGTTCCCAGCAGACAGAGACCAGCAGCATCAGGGAGTTCAGTTTGTCTTCTGTAGTAAACCTTGTACTTTAGGTGCGTGGCTGTGTCCTTACCTGCAGTGTGCCACTATGGGCCCAGCGTCAGGCGGGTTGAGGAACTTGACCTGCCGTATGAAGCCGAGCAGTCCGGTGGCGTAGCAGGGAACGCCGTGGTCGGGCCAGCTGGTGAAGTGGAACTGACGGAGTTCACGGATCTCATGATGACCCTTCTGAAAAAAACACACACAGGAGACCCGTTACACCTCAGCTTCATATGGCAATTCCACAAAACCATTCTTTGCCATTTTTGTCTCTTGATGGTGACAAATGCACGGAACTCACAAATCTCATCATGGCCCTTTTGGGAGAGACTGACAAGAAGACATATCATGGTTCAGCAGACTAATTTACAGCAGGGATTTTAAGAATCCGGGGGCCATTCTGTGTCTTCGGCTTCAGATGGAAAATAAATCGATCTCGTGGATGTCAAGAAGGCACTTTGTGCCACTTTAGGGAATGGGGGACAGGAAGACTTATCGCGGCTCATTTGCCTAATTTACAGGAGAGATTTGAGGAAACTGATGGCCATTTTGGCTCCACAAAAAAGATTAATTGATTTCACAAATCTCATGATGGCCCTTTTGGGGAAGGCTTACAGGGAGAAACGGATCAGTTAAGCTGCATATTTTACAGATTGTAAATATTTAACAGTCGTCTCAGCTTCTTTCTGTTTGAATTCTAAGACATTACAAGTACTTAAAAGACATCAGAAAACTACACAATATTGTTTTTCCAAAAGTCAGAAACATGAACAAGATAGAAAAGGAAATATGCTTTAATTGGTCAGTTAAAGTTTTGAGAAACATTTTTTATGACGTGATACTTCAGCAGTAGAGACAAGGAAACTGTTAGGGGTAAAGAGAGCTTTTTAAAGACCAAAATACAAAATAAATTGGACTCCATTTATTGGGACTCTTCTCCGAGGGAGATACAGAAACAGACATTTTGTTTCCTAGCAATGGAGATAATATGAAATGAGAAGAAAACAAGCACCCATTGTCCACGAGATAGCATCTTGGAATATTAATGAAGAACTTTTGAGAAACACAATGCAATGAGCTGTTAAATGCTTTCCTTTCTCTCTATGGGGATATTATTAAAAAACTTAAACTGACGATGTGAGGCTTAATAGATCTCATCTCCTTAGGTTACAGGCATAATGCTTCACTGTTGTAAGCCCTTATTAATCAACTACTCAAATATTTAAGCAATATAAAACGGTTACCAAATGTGGCAATGTGAAAGAAAAATACACACTCTAATTTAAATAGTTTTTATTAGTAAATAATGATGTTCAAAATAAAATAGTCCCTCCGTTGCCTTCTGCACAAAACATAGTGTGAGGTGGTTGCTATGCAACAACACTAACAGCTAGCGAACATATTAGACAGAGAGCGTTGATCGATTATTTGGCTATTTATTTACATTCATTTGCATGTTGCTGTTTATTGTGCACCCACTGAAAAACTGTCCATCATCAGTAGAATGGTTTACGTGGTTACTTGTATAGGTTGAGGTTGTTCTAGGCTGTTGCTTGGCGTGGCAGGAATATTGCTCCACTTTCTCCGGTCCCCGAGATTTGGCTTCCAGTAGCTCTGGAGAGAGCTTTCGCACCTGTGGCCACTAACGGTCATCATTTCTCTGCTTTGTTTCAAGACCCGCATCAGAAAGCTTTTGAATGGTGATACTTTTCCAGTTGGTCTACCTGCTCTTCACGTAGCTCTGAATGTCGTCGTTTAGGTGCTTTTTTTTCTGGAGATAGGCACTCCTCAATCCACTCCTCCATAGTAAGGCCACCCCGGAGGTCGAAGTTAACCTTAAATGTTTCCATCTTAAGCTTTGTTAGTTAGTTAGTTTCGTAAGGGACGTAATGTAACAGTTGTAACGGTTGTAGCTTTTCTCAGACGCGGAGGGATACATGACTTGTGAAAAGTAACTACAATTCTACCCGTGATATACGCTTATTATATCACGGCTAAGAACCAATCAGATTGCTTGATTTGACTTGTCCGTTTTATAAACAACAATATATCATGTTGCAGCTTGCTGTCTATTAAAGTGGCCCAATATCTAATCCAAAGGCAAGCATGGAGATGAATTTGACTTAATTGAACAATCTTGGGAAGGTTGTTCTTAAATTGTATTTTTTCCATATACAATTACACGAAAGTATAGGACCAGTTCACAACAAAGTTTTCAGGCAGGTTTGGGCTCAAGGACACCCAAACAACCTTATTGCCAATATTAGACCTGTCAACAGAAAGTCACTAAACTTTGACAGCGTATGCCACTGTGATGTCCGATAACTGCTCCTCCGCAGCCTCAGGGCTGAGAGCTCTTACTTCTAGCTTGCTACTCAGAATTCTGACCTGCATCTCTCCGCACAAGATGCTAAAATATCCCAATCGTACACATCTCAGGAACGCAGCATAAGATATGCATGACCCTTCTTTCTGCTTTCACTGGTTCAATTTTTCTCCCAAACACACGCTCCTGCTTTAATAATTCAAATCAATCGATCCCAATATAGTGTTGTAAGCTAAACAAGGCTTAAATGGAGAGGGACATGCCCCCCTCAGTTCAGTTTAGGTAAAGAACAGGAAACTGTCGCAGCTCCCATTCTGCTTCTGATACACAGATAAGGTTGCAGTGAATAATTTATTTTAGCATATGAAAAACTGAGAAGCAGGGAGAACATAAGGGAAGAAAAATACAAGGTGAGAGGTCAAGAACGAGACTGTGAGTGGGAAGGATCAATGGGCAAGGACAAGAGTGGGGTATGACAAATACACTGAGCGTGGAAAAGTGGAGGTTTCTTCAAGGATGAAGAGACATGTGACAAGGAATGGACAAAGAGAAAGATAGAAGAGAGAACATAGACTGACAATGAGAGTGAGAGAAGCCTGGAGACAGAGAGGATGGAAATAAAACCCAGAAAACCACATGGCGATTTGATAACTGGACTTCCCATTGATTTGCTATCTTTGATGTTGAAATTACTTACTCTAAATCGATGGCCGGCGGTCCATGACAGCCAGGCCATGTTGGAAATGTGATGAGGACGGAGAAGCATTTTAAAGTCTCTCGACTGTGAGAGAAGAGGATGATCTCTGCTGCGGCTAATGGCTTCTTTAAGTGTCTTACTTTTAGTTAAGACTCCTTTGAATGAGTACGTTGGCCAGCCTCAGATATTTACATTATGAAAGACACGCTGCAGTTTCAAAAACAATGCAAACATAAAAACACAAATGTGCCTAAACACATGCACAGCCTTCAGAAAACATTCACCAAATTGACAGAAAATCCGCAGCGTTTACTTAAAGCGCTTAATAAACAAAACACTAAAACCAGACTAAAATACGCTGCAAGAAGCTCAAAACACAACGGAAATGGGGACACTAAAGAGTGACGCACACAGCTGGGACTGAGCGTGTGTTGACGTTCGAACTATAAAGTTGCCAACTGTCACTGGAAACCTACCTAAAATGTGAGTTTTATTGGTTTATTTTAACAATATTATCACATGATTCCTTCTGATGTTATTGCTCATCTGATGTAAGCTAGCTAGCTAACGTGGCTAAATAGTATTTTTATTCAGCGCTTTTAGTAAACGCTATATTTCTTTTTCATTTGCATGTGTTTTAGCACAATTGTTTTGGGTCGTTTGAGCACGTTTGCACCTGCATGTCGGCCACCGTAGTTGAGTGACAAATCATACATGTCCTGCAGTGAACTCCTAAATAACAGTTACATTACAGTTTTTGCTTTAAAAAGAGCTTGAGGTACATTTTCCCTGGTTCTTTTACAGGTTCTTATGTTCTTGTCATGGCAGATAAGGTTTTTTTTTAATAAACATCTTTGGTTGATTTTCATCAAAATGAGAAGAGTTTCAGGCATATAAAGCCACTTAAAAATGATCAGTTTCTCTGGTGCTATTTACAAGTATTTATTTAAGTTAAATTAACACTTGTGTTTTATTCTATGAACTAATGACAACATTTCTCCCAAATGCCAAAAAGAAATGTTGTCATTAAAGAGATTTTAATTTGCAGAAAATGAAAGCTACAATGGTCTCTTTATTTTTTCCCAGAGCTGTAGATGCACTGCGTTTTAATGTTTTATTGTATTTATTCTCTTGAGTTTCTGGAACAACTTGTGATGACTGAACGAGTGAGGAGTTCAGCATCTTCCTCAAGGTCACTCTGACAAAATGCAAGACTTCCTTCTCCGCTGAGAGATGAACCCAAGACCTCAGAGCTGTGGAGGATAATTAACCACAAGATCACCCTGACATTGGTGAAGCATTTCTGTAGCAACAGTACAGTATGTGTATGAGTTGTCATTGTATTCGCCTACTAGCTTTGGTATAAATCCAAGAAACCAAATCATGCAGAAGATGAAGAATAGAACATGAAAAAGTATTGCATTTAAAAACCTCGAAAAGTGAAGAATACATGTGATGATGACATAACGGTGGGTTACGTATTGTAACCCTAGTTCTATAAGCACAGGCGGAGCCCTCTACTGGACTCTATGGGTACTACTCTCATCAATGATACGCGAGCGTTCACACACTGAAGTTGTATAAACGTAGCCGGCCAATCAGGGCGAGCCTACCTGAATGCGCGCACAGCTCACAGTATATAAGGCAGCTACACCTCCTGACTGTCATCCTACACCCTCTTCAGCGAGCATCATAGGAAAGACAGGGCCCCTAGGTAGAGGGCTCCGCCTGTGCTTATAGAACTAGGGTTACAATACGTAAGCCACCGTTCTATCTCACACAGGCTCCGCCCTCTACTGGACTCTATGGGTACAGTGGGTGGAGCCCCGATGGATAAACGCCATGTCGTCCTACAACATCGACCCACCACACTGCCCCTTTGCACCGGCCTTTGGCTAACAGCCACCGCACCCCAACTTCCTATCACCCGCTTGAGACCATGGAGAAGTCGGGACCGCAGCTTACTTGGCAGGGTAGAGCCTAATTGGTCTGAATAAGCCCATAGCTCCACCCTGCAGGTGCCAGCGCACCACGTTTCCCAGGTCCCTAAGGAGCATGGGACAACGTAAGTGCATTATGTCCAAGGGGGTCAGATACAGCTTACTGACCCACAGCCCTCCTCCTTTCACCAGTCCTGTGTTGCCCGAGCAAGCACCGACGATGAAAAAGGAGCCAGACATGTCTAAGAGATACTTACCTTATGAACGGGCCCGGCGTAGACCAAGACGCCGCTGAGCAAGCCCCTTGTCCACCAGTAGCTATAGCTAGGATAGAATAGAGCCCAATGTACCGGACAGAGGCTCTAGACTCCCTTCCTCGCACCACGTATGTCTGTCCTCTGACAGAGTGGCACGTAGCCTGCCCTTCTTCTCGATGGGGCGTACACCCTTCTTTCAAACGTTTTACTTTTCTCTGTCAGGTGTTGGCCTGCTCGCTGAAGAGAAAAGGATGACAGTCAGGATATTATATACTGTGAGCTGCGCGCGCGTTCAGGTAGGCTCGCCCTGATTGGCCAGCTACGTTTATACAACTTCAGTGTGTGAACGCTCGCATATCATTGATGAGAGTAGTACCCATAGAGTCCAGTAGAGGGCGGAGCCTGTGTGAGATAGAACTAAAGAGACCTAGTGGAAAGAAAAAACCTGCTAAACACTGCTAACTTATCCTTTCAGCAAAGTATCGCAGTTATTTTGTCTCCAACTCATCTAGACGCCTAACACCTGTCTGGATATCAGCTGGTTGTAAAGTCCTGTAGAACAATTTATCTGAAAAACTCCAATCAATCAAAATCTAATCCAAATGACTGGACTGGATCTTTGATTGAAGATGTTTTAGAGATTCGTGGAAAATAATAAAGGAAGCCATTACACCCACCAGTGGTTCAACTCAAACTGGAAACTCAAGTTCAATTAAGACAGGAGGTCCCATTTTTCAATCCCAAGTGAACATGGTCAGGGAGGTGTTTGGTGTTTTGGCATTGTGACAGACAAATGTTGTTTCACAGACTTCAGGGAGCGTTCCTCCAGTTTGACATAAACAGCCTGTTTTACACATCTCTCAAACCATCTGCCCAATGCGCGTGTGTGCTGGTCCTCAAGCTGTGATTGTTTGCTGGTAGCTTTGTGCCCACTGCTGGGTCCGGCTCAGTTTGGTCTCCGCTGTGGCACACAATTGTTTGGTTTCTCTGTTCTGAGTGCCATAGACCAGATTACTCCTCTGCTGTGTTGGAGTTGGTCCATGGGGTTCTCTAAGCCCTGTTGCAGTTTCTTGTTGGGTTCTAAAGTACTAGGAAACTGTGTTTAGAACAAATCCTTCAAAAATGCTCTGACACTCAATCTACATGTTGGACTGAAAGCTGTGTTCTGTTTTTTAGTGTCAGTTGTCTGATGTTAGTTGACCAGGGTGACCAGACCTTGATTAAATCAGGATAATCCATTAGATCTTTTAATGTTTTACCTTTGATCTAATGTCAGTAGATAAATGGGTGCAAATATATAGCACTTTCTAGTTACAAATGTTTTAACTAATGGACAAATTGCTTTACAATGTGCCTCATTTGCATATTTGCTACAGCTTCTTCCCCACCTCCATGATGCCATCCGCTTTTTGGTGGTTTCCCTTTCCTGTAGTGTGTTATATGCAGGGGTGCACACAACTTTCTCAGTGAGGTACTCAGATTTCAAATATTTATGGGGGGGAGTTCAGCGCTTCGCGATTGTCAACGGGGGGGGGGTGGTAGTGGAGTACAGAGCTTCATGACCGCGGAGCGTGTGAACATTGTGATCAGCTGTTTTAGCGCAGGGCTGCTGTCCAGACCGACGTTAACAGCAGCCCTGTCTGTGCACACGGAGACAGACTGTCGTCCGGTGATCTAACCGCCTTCTGGAAAAGCTTCACAAGTACGTCGGTACGCAAATGCGCTTTGTGACACAAGTGACGGTACGCATTTTAGATTGTTGCCGCGCATGCGTACCTGCGTACCAGTTATGTGCACCCCTGGTTATATGGTTTGTGGTCATGTAAATGGTCTGCAAAGGCTAACATCCCAAAGTTTCAGGGTGGAAAGGGGGTCTGCAGCTGAGCCAGTATGAGGACAACAAAGCACTTTTTGAACATTAAAGCACAGGAGAGCCACTAAATACAAATATGAATGAGGATCATAATAGGGCCCCTTTCAGTAATACAGTATATCTTTTTTTTTTAAACGTCAATATAATTACGACGTTGTTCACTCACCTACTGTTTGACTGATTCTCAACCATATAGTTCTTTAAATCTTGCCTATCTCTCTTTTTGTCTCTCTTTTTTTCTTCATTTTCTTTCTGTCAAACATGCTTGTACGCAGATTTTTCCTTTTGTTCGAGTCTCTCTCTGCCACCCTTGGTTAATCTCCTCGGACGTGCCATTAATAAAGCTTTTCATTAAGACCCTGTTATTACTCACTGCAATTAAAGCCATTTAACTGTGGTGCAGAACCTGTATTCTTTTTTTCTATCTCTCTCTCTCTCTCTCTCTCGGCCCCCTTTGTATTGCTTTCTCTTTGTTCTCCACACACACACACACACACACACACACACACACACACACACACACACACACACACACACACACACACACACACACACACACACACACACACACACACACACACACACACACACACACACAAAACCTACTGTAGTTTCAAGATGGAGAATTGTGTACTACTGAGTGTGTGCATCTGGTGTGTGTTTGTACGTATTAATGCATTCTGCAAAATGACAGGCATTTCAAAGTCAGCTTTCCTTTGAATTTTAAAGTAGTTGTGCACGCACGCACGTACACACACACACACACACGCTCAGAGGTGGTATGGATTAATGGCTTGCTAAACGAGCTGACAGCGAGAACTTGAAGACTCGTCTTCATAAGCAGCTTTCGCACGAGTGAAGGGGGAAGGAAATACAGGATAGGGAAAAAAGAGGTATATAAAGAATGTGAGAAAATGACACCGGCAGCAGGCAGAGAATATTTTAGTTTTTTTAAGTGTCTGATAATAGTCCCATTTCAATAAAAAAAATGTTTTTGGTGAAGTACGACTGCTAACTGTCAATGTATTTTTGATACATCTATGGTTCAGAGTGGTACCAACCAGTAAGAAAGAGATATGCATGAAAGCAAAGTGAAATGTATTAGCCAAATAGAAAAAGCAGTAAAGAAACCCAGATATAACTTGAAAAAGAGGGAACGTGACACAGAAGACACATACAAAGTATGTTTGTACAATCAAAGATTTGATTTTTTCTCTTATTGTCAAGTGTGTTGATGCAAGCATGTGTGTGTGTGATGCAAGCATCAACACACTGATGGAACATTTTTCCACTTGTACTTGTTTGTTTCATATAAAATCCCTCCTGCCTGATTATAATGGCACCGATTTAGCTTTCCAACATTTTCTCAAACAGTGAGAAACAAACAAGGAGCACTTCTTTCTTGCTTCCAATCATATATTATAATATATGAATCCAAGTTTGGGGTTCAGAAAGAAGATAAGGAGGGTCATTTAACAACAAAGAGAACATGACAGGGTTTAAACACTATATTGGGTTTCAGAAATGTTCTGAAAACTAGACTCATAATATGTTGATTTAACATAAGGCAACCTTGTTGAAATACTTTGTCAATAATATATATCAACAGCTGCATCATTTTGTGATAACAGAAAAGGGAAATATTTGAAATCCCATTTGCTTATTTATGGAGGAGGATAAGGGCTGTGTGATCCGACCAAAAGTGAATCCTTTTTTTTCTCAATTCTGAGATTAAAGTTAGAATTCTGAAAAGAAAAATGTGACTTGTATTGTGAAATGTGACTTTCTTCTCAGAATTCTTACTTACATTTTGGAATTCTGACTTCATTCTCAAATGTTTTTTTTCATAATTCTGATTTCAGTCTGGGATGAAAGAAAAATCACGTGGCCCTAATCCTCTTCTGTACTGGTTTAACTTCTGGTAGAGGTGATATTTTGCAATGCCACGAATGTAAAAAAAACATTTATTTATTTACCAGTTATGATGTTCTTTGGGAGTGAAGATCCCTACATTATAAGTCATATTGTTAGTTGTACTATTGAAGATATTCCATAGTTTACCTTTTGGACGGTGAATGTCCTTATGACGTACTCAGCCAGCGGTTCAGTTTCTATCAGGGTCACCTTGATGTCTCCATAAACCTCCATCTCATCCGGCCAGTAACGCACACACTTCACCTGGGAAACACATATTAACATTCATACAATGTAGTCAAACAAGTATTACAAGCCAGTCATGATCACCCAATGAGAGAGATTGTTGAGAGCAGTACCACTGAAACACCCATAGGCCTCAAGCCACCTTACAAGAAATACACATCAAAAATGTCAACAAGATATTCTTAAAAGCCAATGGAAAAATCCCATTAGCTTTTCATCGAGGTAGCCCTTGTGATGCTTACTTCCAAGTTGGCCAACAAACATTGGTCATCACTGCGTCACTCTATTTGGCCTCTTCATCAAACACATTAACACATATTTTGTAATATAATAACTCGGATGACAAACTCACCCTGCCCACCTCAACCAGGTTGGTAACCATGACGATAGAGGCTGAGTTCTCCTGCCAGACCATCCTCCAGAAATCCCTCACCGTCTCCTGCATGGGCCCTGACACACACACACACACACACACACACACACACACACACACACACACACACACACACACACACACACACACACACACACACACACACACACAAGCACACAAGTTAGATATATATGCATAACGACACACACACCAACAGACACATGCATATGTATACAGTATTTATGTATAAACACACTCATCACATAAAAATAAGTCAGCACTGATAGCACAGACTTAAACAAACACACACATGAACAGAAAAAGCACACACACACACACACACACACACACACACACACACACACACACACACACACACACACACACACACACACACACACACACACACACACACACACACACACACACACACACACACACACACACACACACACACACACACACGCACTCACACACTATCAATCCCAGATAGTGGTTCCGGGGTTTGAGGTAATGGGGTCTTACATTTGTCAGGGGGATTTTATACGGCGGTTTAGATTTAGGAGGTTGTGGTAATAGCCTCCAAAACCGAGAGGACGACATTTACCAGGTGGCTGCCACACACACACACACACACACACACACACACACACACACACACACACACACACACACATACACATACACATACACACACACACACACACACACACACACACACACACACACACACACACACACACACACACACACACACACACACAATCTACAAATCACACATACAGTCTCCTCTCACACACACACATTACGTCAGTTTAATTACCTTGTGTGGCGATGTAATGTCTGGGTCTGTGGTACCCCTGTGAGACAGATAAAAAAGAAAAGCATAAAATAAAAAACTCTCCATATTTTTCTTCCCATATTTCTACATGTGGATGCACTATACGCACTTTTACCATGTCACTTTACTGTTTCTTATATTGCTCTTGTCTATGTAGTGTCTTTAATGTAGCCTTATATTTCTAAATTTATTTTGTGTCTTCTGCCCCGCTTTCATTTTTCTCCGCAGGCTATCCGTTCTCTGTATATCCCCAGATGGGTAAAGTACTAAAATTGCTATTTAAATCAACATTGTAACTTCTTGCTTATTCATTACATCATCTTCTCACTTCACCATCAGTTTGTCTAACACTCCTCACATCTTTCTTTGTACTATTTGGCTTCTAAACTGTTGTGTTGATCTCTTTGCCAGCTTCTCTTACTAATCAAAATCCATCTTTTCCTCACTTTTCTATCATTTTTTATTTTATGTACTGTCCTGGTGAAATGATTGCTTACTATTTCTTCTTTTTAAATCATCCACCTCCTTTACTCTTTTTCCTTGTCCTCTGCTTCTCAATCAGTTTCTGTCTACTTCCATCCTCCATCTCTCAACCTGGCTTTTTATCATTGTATTCTTCTTCTCCTCGCTCCTCTGTTCTGTCGTCTCCTCCCATGTTTTCATTTATCCCGTCTCCCTCTCCAGACACTTCAATCCTCAGAGAAGCATAACTCAAGGTCGTTTTCCGAATAAACATCAAATTAAATAATAGAGGAGAGATTAAAAGCGACTCCCTCTTGTCCCTGCACAGCCCTCCCCCCACAAAAAGAAACCTCCCTATGAGACTGATAACCTTGTGAGATGAAAACATTTATCACGTTCATATTGTCATTACGACCACGTTATAGATATCTGCACAGAGGGAATATATTGTTTCGAGTTGCAATTGTTCAATACCCCACGCTCTTTCTTTTCTTAAGAAATAAATGGTGTCTGTGGAGACTGGTTTAAAATCAGCATTATGTACCGATTTCAATAATACCATTATTAAAACAGTTCACTGTTAGAGGGACATTCAATTGATAAGTGGAGCACAATGCTCAAAGGGCAAAGAGAGATGGGGGAGGGGGGGCAAGAGGGAAAACAGTGGGAAGGTAAGGGACAGATGGAACTGAAGAAGGGAGGAGAGAAAATGTATTAAAGGGGGGGGGGGGGCTGAATGGGAGGAAAGCAGAATAAAATACAATTGAAGTCCTGATGACTTTCTCCACATCCATATTTCATTTTTTAAATGGATGGGGTCCTTTCGTTATCAAAGGCCTCAGTGTGAGTGCACTTCTCTGTGGAAAGAATGTTGTCTATATGTTGGAGTCCATGTTGCTTTATTGCATTTTAGAGAATCTGAAGCCCATCTTATTATTATGTTTTGTCGGCACAGGAAAGATTGTTGAGATCCACCCAGATCCATCTTTTTTTCCTTTTCTATATACATTCAAATGACCATTTTTGACATTTCGATTTTCCTTGTTGTACATGTATCACTTTTTTAAGGCATACACAAAACATCTATTGCACGTCTGTCTGTCCCGAGGTTTCTTTCATTATTTCCACATTAGTTTTTTGCTTGTATGTGCGGGCGGTTTAAGGACAGAGGGTGTCGTACAGTATGCTGTACACACTGTAAAGCCCCCTAAGGCAAATGTGTAATTGGTGATATTGGGCTACATAAATAACATTTGATTAAAGCTTGATTGAGTAATATGTGGCTGAGTTATTGGGTACTACCCTGTTCAACCATGTATTTACAAAACACAGCCCACACTGTAGAGAGTTGCCATCATTCATGAAAATGATTTTGCATGTGCATTCTCAACTGCTTTTATTTTTAAGAACATGTATATAAAGGTTTGAAGGTACTCTAACAGAGAGCATTATGGGCACAAATTGCCTGTTGTATGTCTCCGATACAAATAGCTTCACTTTCAACTACTGCATGTGAGAATGTGTGCATATGTATTTCCATCTTTGTGAAGACCAATTAGCTTAAGACGTCCAAAGTGAAGACAGATTGAACATCGAGGACTATTGGAGGTCACTTGGTGTTTGGGGTCATGTTAGAATAAGGTAAGCCGTAGCGTAGTGTTACTCTTTGGTTAGAGTTCCTGGTTCTCAAAAGCATTGATGTACAGATGTGTCTGTGGGTGTAACCACTCACGTCAATGTAATTGGCGTTGATGTAGTCAGAGTGGGGGTCTCCTTCCAGCAGCTGCAGTCGGACTCTGGTGTGATCGTCTGTGGGGTCAGATAGCACAAAAATACAACAGGCCTAAAGTTACATTTACCCACAGATCGGAGCAGCTAACTGAGTGGAGGGGGAACCGACTACAGTAACTAACCAGGCTCCAGGTTAGAAGACTGTCCGAACCAGAGTATGAAAGCACTGGGCTTTTATTGAAAGAAGAACGTTTTCCTTCAAATCAACCTGTACTCACGCATTGTGAATGTCCTCTTTTAGTAGCAAAGAACACTCTTGGTTGAGCATACACATCATGTCACTTTGACACTAGAGGCCGCGGTTCAAGTTCTGTCTCCTACCAACAGTGTTTTGTATGATCATAAATACACCTAAGAAGAGGGTTTAGCCAAACCATAACCACAGGAAAGCCACACAAAGAGATCAGTACAGAAACTGACCAACTCATCCTAAAACCATACATTCTGGCAGATTCTTTGTAACAGAGCTGAATGGGCAAGAAAAAATTAGTTTTGTACTAGAATCCACAAAGCTGATTTATTACAAATAATATTTAAATAAGTCATTGAAACACTGTTCTATATATAATCTGCCTCTCTCAACAAACACTAGTTTATTTGCTACCAAATGAAACATAATCAAAACCTTGCAACAGTGCTTAAACCACCAACATTCATGTTGTTCTACCTTGGGGCAGCAGTGGCTCATCTGTAGGGACTTGGCCAGGGAATTTGAAGTTAATGTTTAAAAGTAATAGTACAAGTAATGTTTAAACAATGTATTTAAAGAAACCATAGCAATGAGCACATTGAAAAGAAAACCTTATTTTGCCATAATGACTATATGACTATAATACCCATATTTATGAGCCATTGACTTGACAAACTCAATGGTGGAACCCATTGCCAAAGTACATGTCACCAAAAGCAGTTTTGCTTTTCTCTTTCTGGCTGATTACCAATTATTTTGTTCTGTGCTTTAAAAAGCATCCATAGTATTAGGACGCATGTGGAGATGATTATGTCTAATGGCAGGCGGTGATTTTGTTAAGTCGTAACGTAGCAACAGCAGGTAATTGTAGATGAAGCGAACATGCTTTCGTCTGATTATCTCTATTTTTCTAGTCTTTTTCTTTTGTCATGTTGACATGCTCTAGTTCATCCCAATTGAGGTTCATTCTCTTAAACGTATGAGAGAGGAGAAAGGTGAATGGTGATGATATGAAGAAAAGAAAAAGAGTATCGCAGGAAAGAGGTAAGAAATGGCAGAAATGGCCAAGTATCAGGTGATATGAGGAAAAGGGTATTGGGGCTAGGGGAAAGGGGGAGGGAAACTGGCAAAAGACTGGGAGAAATCAAAAAGGGATCACCTATTTCTTTCTTTGAAGTCACAGAAATGCTAATGCGATGAATGTGATTGATGCAATGCTACAGCGGGGTGGAGCGCTAACAGCAAGAAAACAGCTAGCGGACCGCGGTTAGTCTGTTTGCTGCATGGAAGACTTCTGAACTGTTACAGCAGTACTGTTGATTTCTCATTTATATATCAATCTCACGCTTTCTTTTGAATACTTTTACCCACGGAAATTCACAAGTCAGTTCAACAGAAACTAATTAAATGCTGTACAGGTGTTTATATGCAACACAACTGCCAAGGGCTTACAGCTTTAGTGTGAACCTTTTTTTGACAGAAAGGATTAAAGCCTTCAATCTAAATCAAACAGAAATACTGCATTCAAATCAAAGCATTCATGTGAGAATAGCTACTGTTTGTTTGATGACTCATACTTTGAATAGTTGCTCTCTATGTTTAAAATGGAGACAATCATGTTGTCAAGTAGGTGTTAATGTGGTGAATATTTTAGAACTGATGTGTGATTATTCTATTCATGGTTGGCACAAACTGGCTTTTGGTAGAGTTAAACAAAAGCAGAAATAGAAGCGGAAATTATTATAAGGTCCCATTGACACTTTTAACTTCGAATAAACAATAAATATATCGTATTGAAACACTTCAGCAGAAGACTGTGAGATGCAGAAAAAGCAATGTGAATCCAGTATAAACATGGCGATAACTACTATACAAATGACTTTTTCTAAGGTGAATTATGATCTTTCTCAACTGTATCCATTGGCAGGTCATGAAAGACCATTAGCTGAGTGGTGGACGATGTTCGGGATGTTAAAACGTAAGTCTGAAGTGTGTCTCGGCCAAATCCCAACAGGGATTTCAGCCTACATGATCCCCTGATGTCAGAAAAAACGGTGCAACTCAAAAGATGTACTGTGTAGTCTGATTATATTGTCTTTTTTCTGGGCAACTCTGAAGCACAGCATCCTAAAAGCCAGAGACAGGCCTCCTTAAATTCCTTTTCCACGAAGTAACCCAGAAAATAATACACACTATCAGTTTTTTGGTCACCAAATGAACAGAACTTGCTCCATTGGCACTGAATAATATCAGTGACCATGAGTCTTTAATGCGGAAAAGCTGCATCTAATACAGAGTCTTCCGATGAATCCCCTCCTTGATTATCATTTGTAGGATCACCTTGAGGAGAACCATTTATATCAGACACATTTTCCAGCTCTGGCTGAGAGGCAACAATGATGGCAGCATGACTCCACTCTGCTGGTACAAGATACTGTCATCAGCTATCAGCTCACCCACACTCTTTCTCACACACTAAGCATCTCCCTCTCTCGCACACACACATTCTCCACATGTAAAAACAAACACACCAGGAGTTAGTATGCCATCCTTCTGCTAGTTTTCTTTTCCTCTCTTCTCCTTCTCTTTCTCTGTCTCATTTTCTCTCTCTTTCACCCTTTCCCATCTAATTCTGTCCCCGCCTGAATCTCCTCATCTTCAGTTCTTTCCCTGCCTTGTCTTCCTTCATTTCATTTGTCCTCCTCCTGCTCTCCTCCCCTCTTTGCTCCATACTGTCTCGCTCCTTCAGACAGCAGTAATTACACGGTGCTAGTGTCAGAGGCTGTCATAACACGAGAGCCACCGATATGAGGCTGATGGGGGGGTAGGGGCCCTTTCCACTTCTCTCTGCCCAGGGAGGGGAGCTTCTAATTGGGCTAAGTTAGCAGGAGGTACTGGCTTGCAAACACTGCAGATCTGGACACAGGCCACAAGTTTGAAGGGGGCTGACAGTGTGTGTGTGTCTGTGTGTGTGTGTGTGTGTGTGTGTGTGTGTGTGTGTGTGTCTGTGTGTTTGTGCTTGTTTGTGTGCGTGAGAGAGAGTGAGTAAGCATAAACCAAGCGGCAACCTATTGGTCCAGGAAGTAAAGCCAATGCAGAACTGCCCTAAATTACATAGAAGTCGAGAATTATTGTATAGAAGTATAGAAGTCTATGAAGTCTTGATTTATAAATCCCTTTTGTGTTTTCAAACCATGAAAGTTCAATCAATAATTGTATTCAACAAACCAATCGGTGACCCCACGGTTACCACGTCTACTTCTATACATTCTATGGCGTAAATCAATCAAAACCTCATGTACACACACAGGTTTATCAATTTATAAGGATCACTTTACACTATATATATAAGTCAAGAGTTCTAGTGTAGAAGTATAGAGGTCTATGACATTATCTTCTCACTTGATTTATTACCCCAGTAATAATTTTCCTAAATTATTTATGGTCTCAGTAACTCGTTTTTACTCATCTTCAATACATCATGGTGTTCATTTTGTAAATAAAGATTTCATCAAGTCAAATAGAGCATAAAACAGCATATACTTCAGGGTGTGGTTACTTTTATGGATGACACGTATTTGCCCAGTCTTGCCTGGTTTTCGGTGCACTTCTACATTGTGAAAGTGAAATGTAAAATGTCTGCATACAAATCACAGCCTCAAATACAGGTTAGTAACACTTAAGAGGAACAACTTTAACCTTATTTAACAAAGTTATCCTCAATTAGATAAGACCTAAACTACTATCTTTAAAAAAGTATATGTTTAGAAGTCTGTAGTCATATCCCAAATAGCTCATCATGCTCATCGTGTCTCAGAGATCTGGATCTATAGAGCTGATGTGTGCACTCAGGCTCATGTTGGCGTCTGTAGTCCTGGAGTAACAACAAAGTCATCAGAAGCTGCAGTGTTCAAGGGCGAAGGGTTACGGACCCATTACTCATTAATGAGCTCCTCTCCTCTGCTGAGTAACCCTCTCCTCATAACCCTACAACCCCCCCCCCCCCCCCACACCCCTCTACTCTCATCTCTCTGCTTTTCCATTTTATCTCCCTGAGTCTCGTCATTTATTTTCATATCCTCTCCTTCCCAAAGTCTTGTCATTACCCAGGCAGCTACTGTAAAAGTTTTGTTGGGGAGAACTTGTTTACTTGTGGGGTCCAGAAAAGGCCAGACAAAATAGTCTTCAGTGTTTTTGATCTGGGAGAGATTCGTGGGGGCATCCAAATGCAGCAGTGAGCTGTAATTTGGAGACATCAGATCAGATTGTGTGTACTAGGAGCCTGAACAAGGCCATTGCACACACATAAATGAGAAGGAGCCACCAGTGCCTAATGACTGCTGTCGTAGCACAACAGTCAACAGGATCAAAGAGGTTTCTTTTTACCAACAAAAAGAACCAACCTGACTGAAATATTGTAATTGGAGCAGGACATCATCTATGGACTCATTCTGCTTTACTTCCATGAATTGACTGCCAATGTACTGCTTTATAAGTCCAGTGCCTACCCTAGATTGTTCCTGCTTGATGAACCAAAAATACATTTAAAAAGTACTTAGGTTATATAATGCTGAAATCCTCCACTGAAAACAGTACTAATGAGATTCTCCAGCCCCGCATGGCCCAACTCGGATCTTATTTAGAAATGTAAATGATCCTCGACCTTTACTTAACTATGTATCACAGGCTGGCAGAGCTTTTTGCTTTTCCTGAACAAATCTGCCTCAGCTATTTCAACTTTCCTTTATTACCTCCCCTACTTGGATTGAAAATGTTATCTTCAAGGGGACAGTCCCTTTTATTTATATTGAGGCTACACGCTTGAGAT